TAGTAGAACATTTTAAATAGCTGTCATTTCTATAGTATTAGTTAGTTAGGTTTGTTCTAATAAAATAGAACTGTATCATTTTTAAAGTAATTTTAACTTTATCGGCCTCTGTGCCTGCTGTTAAAATGGGCGGCGCTGGATTAACTATTTTTTTGCCTTACAAACAAACAGACAGACCGGGTTTTATCATCGTTCTGCTCAAGTAGATTTTCTACTTTAACGCGAAGATCGACTAGATACAGGCTTTTACGCCATTATTAAAGACTCAAAAGAATATAGTCGTAGCGTACCTACTATTATGTTTAAGTTACAGCGAAGTAGGGTTAAGCTACCCCTAAAATAACCAATATTTGGAAACTCTGTTCTTGGTAGCTTGGTTAGTTGGATGTAGGAGTCGACTGCTGGATGAGGTGTCTACTTTAGCATCTTGGTTAACAATCATACTAGTACCTGTTACATGATAGTTAACTTCAGTAGATCGACTGAGAGTAGTTCTCGCTGACTGATCCTTCCTGTTGGCTCTGGATAAGTTAGTAGTATTGCTAAGGTAGTTGCTAATTCTTCACGAGCCAATGAGGCCTAGTCTTTGAGCTAAAACAAAATGGAGTTTCCCCAAGAGTAAGATAAAGTACAATGAAATTCTACCGTTGGTTTGTGATTATAGTTGGAGTGCATCTATACTTTTTGTCCCTCAGGCCTTTATCGTAAAGTGGTCGAAAGAGATCGACCCTCTCTATAAACTTCAGTAGTTCTACTTAAAGGTAGTTGTCCTTGAACTGTAAGGAGAGCCACTGTTACTGGTCCTGGTCCAACACGATGGTTGTCCAACCGGGGGCTGATTGCACGCTACATGCATAGACTGATAAAAACTATGATTAGCAACCCTCTAGTCTCCTCGGCTTTCTTTGACTTTAACTGAAACACTCAAGTAGGCTATTAAATTCTTTAATTTAAAGGAATGCTTCACAACCTTGGGGTTGCTTTGCTTTTATTATATATATTCATATGTATCATGCTCAAAAACTGCTTTAAGCACGGGTCGAAAGACTACTCTTGATAATGGTAAAAACTTGGACAGATGACAGCCTGGGCGAAAAAAAAAAGAGTTTTACTTACCTGTGACCTCTACAGGTAGTATCTGTTTAAATAAAGTTTCTAAAGCTGTTCAAAATATTTAGTAAAACTAGTTAACGTATTTACTTAGTTGTCCTCTAAACTACTAAGCTATTAATAACATCTGCTATAATGCCCCTCCAGGTATTTAGTCTTTCTTCTACCCCTCTAGACTAGAACTATAACTTTTAAACAATATCGCTTGTCCTCTAGGCCAACGTAAAACTAAAACACTAAAAATGTGGTAAAAACCGAAAAGGAAAGGGAAGAAAACGCAGAAAATTATGATCGAGCCGCCCATGTGTTTTTTTTTTAGCACTGGTATTCTAAGGCCGGTCTTCTTCAGGTTTTAAGCCGCTTAACCTGAATTCCCCCACTTCTGCAGGGGTTGGAGCACGAGTGCCCACCAATGTACGCTCTTTAGAGAGCTATAATAACTATCTCGAAGAACTGAACAAGCGGAAAATATTGGGCCCGGGCTCCCGACATTCGTCTTGGTGGGAGGAGGGGAAGTGAACCGCTAAAAACCACCACCGGGGGAGGCAACCTTAGGCACAAGACCCGAGACCACGTGGACCCATGTTTTATTAAATATATCTCATACATATCGTAGCAATACTAATAAACAATATAGTTACCCTCAATAATTCAAATTTTAAATCCGTGCTGTAAAGTGATTAAATTCTAAACAGTATCTTCTGGGTTGTATCATACAAAGACGCTGGTAAAAGATTGTCTTTGATTATGTCGTTACCACAGAACTTTGTAATTACTCGGTGCTGCTGATGATGTTCTATTGTACTGCCTACGCTTTAATCTTTCTTTCTACATTGATCCCGTAGACCCTTTGACTTTGTGGATTTGGAAGATAAATTATAAAGGTTCTGCAGCTTTTCGTGGATGGATGCGGAGACGAAAAACGAGAGATGTACTATCTTGTATAGGTAAGAGACTTGCATAATGAGTGGTAGGTACGTAAATAGCATTATTGACCTTGATTTCAGGGGTTGATACACTAGTTTTAAACCAGTTCTATTATCTCAATGCTGTATTATTGTGCTAGAGCTGCGTTCTTATCCTTGTGAGAGGTGCTATCTTGGCATTAGGATGTTTAGTTGTGACTAAAAAAATAGTGCTTACTCCTCATATAGGAAGCATTTTAGTAAAATAGCATATAAAGTACACTGGTACATAGCGCTATCCACTAGTATACTTTAGTACAGCGCGGACCGCTCTGTTGTGTTTTTAGGGGAGAAGGGGGTTCCTTTAAAAATAGACTTTACACTTAGGGAAACAGCACTTTTATATGAAACATAGTGAAAAGTATACTAATCTCAAAGATCCAAAAGAGGGTTGTGAAATTTTAAACTTGCTATGGGTAAGTGGCCTTTTTGTTGTTAATTAATAGCGGAGGGAGGGATTTAATTTTTCGGGCATAAGTGCAGCCATGAGTCGTTACGAAATGCACATAGCTCTGATTAAACAGTTTTACATGCTACATACCTTTTTAAGGGCAAATTAGCAATATGCACAGTAAGTTAAGCAGAAGATTCGAGATGCACAAGGTTAATCCTTGTGCACAAACCATTGATCATAACATTTTTCAAGATTGCACTGCTTTAAAGAAATTTTATACACAGTTATTATCAGAAAAAAAAAAAAATTGATAATTTCGTTAAAACTGTTACCTCATTTTCTAAACTTAGCAGCATGGAATTAAGGTTAAAAAATTAGCAGATATATTGCCTATAAGTCGTTACTTCCAGTATTTAATTTTCAACAAGACAATTAACGCTGTGTTGATGTGAGACGTCTTTTGCTGGATCCCGGCTCTACTATTAAAAGATCTTAACTAACAGCGAGTTTTAAGCGTTGAACTCACATTTCAAGAATACAAAGTATAGTAAAATGACGGTTCTGGTTTAAAAATATTATAATAACAACTTTCCTTAACTTATATAAAGCCAGATTTCGGCAATGCTTGACCAAAAACTGAGTTAAAAACTAGGCTAAGCTTTTTTAATTTTGTTTCCTTATAATTACGGCTATTATATGAAAAGTAGTTAATTTTAGTTTGTTTAAGAGTTTGGACTTCCAAACCATAAATACTTAATTGGTTTTTTAAGGGAGCCTACGTTTTATGTGTAGTGGAAATATTAGATATTGAATTTAAATATTTACAACAAATACTATTTTAGTTTACTTGTTTCATCCAAAAATACTTTTACTTGTTTGTTTGGGCCATATTCTTTTAAATATATAACTTATAATGCTTGTATAAAAATTGGCCCACTTGGTGTGTCGTCACGTATCAAGACTTATCAATGTTGTTAGCTTTCCAAATTCTTTTAGCGAACCGATACTAATAAAACACTAACTCATCTATATATAACAGTAATTTCTGGGGATATTTATAATAGTAATACACATATAAATACCGAACGGAACAGGGTTGCTGGCATAAGAAGAAAAAATAAATAATAATATTTGAAAAAAAGGTAGAGACTTTGGAGCTCTCTTAGCTTTAATTTCTATAATACTCACTTATTAAAAGTTTCACTTTAACAGAAAAGTTGTTACAATAAAGTCTTATACCCAAGATATAAAGAATCCAAGTACTGTTATAATAGTTCTACTTTTCCGTAAGCACATAAATATATAAAATTAAATAGGTCCAAGAATGAAAACAATTCATAACTTTATCCTTATAGAAATCTTAAATTCTTAGGTGTTAATAAATAACATAAAACTAATAGCTCTTGAAGATTCGAAAACAATGAGAGTAAGATTTGATAAATCCATTCGAACTTAATGCAAATAAAATAAAAATTGATAATTGCCTTAATTATACAAAAAAAGTACTTACTATTAAATAACTTAGGTAATAAAAATAAATTAACGACAATACTAATCTTCGAAATGTTTATAGAGTTTAACTTAATTCACCCAAACTTTGACTTTTAAAAATAAACGCAAACTAATAGTAATTAGTAATAAATAAAATAATAAAATATTGTTATCATATGTAATCACCCTCAAAGCTTTGTTACACGTTAAATTTAGGCCCTTCAAGAATTTTTTAAAAAGGGGTATAAAATGAATAAAACCGACTCTAAAAATAATGTAATAGGAAAACACTTCCAAAACTGTATTAACTGAGGTTTGAAACTTTTTTTTTTCTAAAAAGTTCATCTAAAGTTAACCCCAAAACTTTTTTATTGACACCCAAATAACTATGTACGCCTTTTTTTATTTGCATAACTTAAATTTTAATAGCCTAACATATAAGTTTTTTTAAGCATTTATCTTTAACAGAAACTAAATTAGCATTCGTAAAATACTTGTATACTTATATAGGAACATGTATGCAGCATCCTACTAACAAATTCACTTTTAAACCTGTTACCAAGAAGAGAACACAGTATAAACGATAAATCTTTAAAAAAAAACAACAATAATATATTAAAACGCTAAATATTAAAATTAATTAACCAATTCATTTATACTTCAAAGTGGCATAATAAAAAGATAAAACATCGAAACTGACGTAAGAAAAGCATTATTATTTACTTGTCATACGTAACCTTTCGGTCTAACAAATAAAAACTATTATCCAAAATCACATTATAAAATCATAATTATATAATTTAAGGTTTAATATTTCTTTTAACAACCGTACTTAAAACAGGTAATATAAACTCTTTAACATAGCAATCCAGTGGTATGCCTTTTTTAACTAATTTAAAACTTCATTTGATAATAAAAAGTTTTGTAATCATATTGCACATTATTTAGCGTAGCCTACCAAATAAATATATTTTGGCTACCAAATAGAAAAAAATTTATTATAAAAGTTTTTTTTTTACTACTGGGCTCGCCCGTTTGAGGCGCTTACTTAGTTCTCTTCTTTTGGTAGGTTTCTCCGTTTTGCTGGTCCTTAGTGGTGTTGGTTTATTTGGTAGTTAATAAAAACTTGATATGTCTGCTTTGCAACTTATGTACTGTTCGTAACGTCTTGAGTAATACGCAAGTAATGAAAAGTTTGTTTATGCTTTGAAGTCGAACTTTTCATAAAATTTTTTAACATAATGTTATAAAGTACCGTTTATCTTTTAAAATTTTCTAGTCAAAAATAGAGTAGTGTAACTGTTCTCACTTTTTTTTAAATCTAGTAAATGTTATAAAGTATTATTCTGTTACTTTTTTTAATAGGAATTAAACTACTGAAAAATGCAAATATTTGTCAAGACACTTACAGGCAAGACTATCACTCTTGAAGTGGAGCCTTCAGATACAATAGACAATGTTAAGACTAAGATTCAAGATAAGGAGGGAATTCCTCCTGACCAGCAACGTTTAATCTTTGCTGGGAAGCAACTGGAAGATGGCCGCACGTTGTCTGACTATAACATACAAAAGGAATCTACTTTGCACTTAGTTCTTCGTTTACGTGGTGGAATGCAAATTTTTGTTAAAACACTTACCGGCAAGACCATTACTCTTGAGGTAGAACCTTCAGATACAATAGATAATGTTAAGACTAAGATTCAAGATAAGGAGGGGATCCCTCCTGACCAGCAACGTTTAATCTTTGCTGGGAAGCAACTGGAAGATGGCCGCACGTTGTCTGACTATAACATACAAAAGGAATCTACTTTGCACTTAGTTCTTCGTTTACGTGGTGGAATGCAAATTTTTGTTAAAACACTTACCGGCAAGACCATTACTCTTGAGGTAGAACCTTCAGATACAATAGACAATGTTAAGACTAAGATTCAAGATAAGGAGGGAATTCCTCCTGACCAGCAACGTTTAATCTTTGCTGGGAAGCAACTGGAAGATGGCCGCACGTTGTCTGACTATAACATACAAAAGGAATCTACTTTGCACTTAGTTCTTCGTTTACGTGGTGGAATGCAAATTTTTGTTAAAACACTTACCGGCAAGACCATTACTCTTGAGGTAGAACCTTCAGATACAATAGACAATGTTAAGACTAAGATTCAAGATAAAGAGGGAATTCCTCCTGACCAGCAGCGATTGATTTTTGCAGGCAAACAACTGGAAGATGGCCGCACGTTATCTGACTATAATATTCAGAAAGAATCTACGCTCCATTTGGTTCTTCGTTTACGTGGAGGATCGTATATTGGCAAGAATATTATTTTTGAAGTAGAACCTTCAGATACCGTTGAAAATCTTGAGACCAAAAGTCAAGACAAGCAGGGAATTACTCCGGACCTGCAACGTTTAATCTTTGCTGGAAGGCATTTGAAAAATGACTGCGAAGTGCCGGATCACCATCCTCAAAAGAAGTCTACTGGGCATTTAGATTTTCGATTAGGGGGTAATATTCATATTGAGGCTAATACCGGTAATTTTCTAATTCCGAAAGTGCAGTCGGCGGGTACTTTTGAGAGCTTAAGGGCTTATTTCCTTACGGTCGGCAAGCAACTAGTAGCTGGTTTGCGCTTATATAATCTTAGTCGTTGTATAGACGCCCACTTAGCTTAGTTGAGGAAGGTGCTTGTATTACCTCGATTTGTTATGACGATTATAAAATAATAAAACTTAAACTATTAAAAAAACTACCTAATTCATAATACTACTAGATGTTTTTTAAGTATACTCGACGCTTTTTTATTTTCCTGTATAGGTTTTTAAACATTTATCTTTATTCTGAGGAGTTAAAAGCCTGAATTTGCTTTTATTAGGGGAGCATACATTTTTCGTGCGCCTAATTGATATCTTCTGTTGGTGTATTTTTTTTACTTTTAGAACATATGGGGACCTAAAGTGTAAAAGCACTAAAAGAGGATTTTTTATATTTATAAAAAAGAATTAAAAAAAGTTATAGTACAACTATACGTCATTTTTTAAAAAACCTTAATAGCGCAACTACAAAAATTAAGTTTGAGAAAGCAAACACGCTTCTTTCCATTCCGCGGCGCAGCCCACATATTCTCTCTTAGTGGTTACTTGTACGTTTTACCCCCGTAAATAAAATTTGACTTAGACCAGCGGAATTACTTATTTATCTGTTATGCCTTCGCAAGCTTATTCAACATTTTGGTAGTGTGCAGTTAGAGAGGGTATTGGTATCAATTTATGCCAATATTATATAAAGTCGTTCAAATAAGATTATTTTGTAAATGTATATAAGCCCCTCTCAAGGGTCAGGACAGCCTTTTTGGTTTGGCCTCAGGGCGAGCGTGTGAGCCGCTGTTTCACCCTTAAGGCATCTTGTTTTATAACCTTTTATTGATCACTAAGGTTTAATTGATACCACGTGTGAGGTCAAACACAATAAAGCTTGGTTATAAACTTCTGGAGCAGTTTGTAAAAGGTAATATGTAAATCTGAAAACACGAACTGGACGTATATATAGAAATAATATATATAAAAATTAACAAGAAACTTACATCAACCTAAATTAAGGGTGTTAGTCTGTCTAACGTTTTAAACCCTCTAATTTTTTTAGGTGGTACTAAACTTTTAATGCTCATGTATATTCTTTCTATAAGATATTGATCAGTACTTGGTTGACGGATCATCGGTGTTTGCTTATTGAAAAGTCTTTGAGATGGAAAAATTTAAAAAAAACATTGGGAAGAGTGGTGTCTTTGCAAACAAAGTATGGCGATAGTTATTTCTCTCATTTCAGTGTGTCTTATGCCTTACAAGACTGCTTTGCTAATTTTATATATTTCGAGGGCTTGCATATTGTTGCCGACCACATATGTTTAATTAAATATAAATTTAGTTGGTTGTAGTGAGTAAAAGAATATAACAATAAAAACAAAAAATGGGAATGAGAGCTAATTGATTTAAATTAAAATTTTTTGTATTCATATTTCCCCTTTTATCCCGTAACATTCTTAATATACTGATGGGTTTAGAATGTTCGTACTTTATAACCTTTCAGGATGGTATGTGTCTCCTTTTCATTTGCAGGTTTTTAAGTTATAATAAAGCGCTATCTTTGCGTATTTTTTTGTTCTGTTTTTCCTCTCTATTCTGCGGCCTTCGCTCCTCTCCTTGTTGCAATCTTCTTCTTAACTCTATTTTTACGGTCTTAGCTTCCTTATTTCAGTTTTCTTCCCTGCGATCTACTTCTACTTTTGTTGCTAGGTTTAACGGTAGTTCCATTTGCCTCTAAATTTTTAACATTTTATAATTTTGATATAACCACAGATTTTTTTTATCTTTATACAACATTATTACCGGTTTAGTTAGCAGTTGTGAGTATATAAAATACCTAAGCAAGTGAGGAGTACGCCATTTGACATCGTATACATCCCACGCATAAGCGCACTTAGCACTCATTGAGCAGGTAACGCCCTTGAGTAACTTCTTAACCTTTGTCTAAAGTATACCCCAAGTATATTTACCCAAAATGCCTTGATTACTCTGCGTGGGGACAATGCAGTGTGTTTTTCTCTTGATAGTTAGGTTATACATATAAGATACAACAAATAGAGAATAAAAAATTACTGTCCCATTATCGGTGCCAGCTATCAAATTTTTATAAGTATTGCTGCAGAGACTGCTATATATACTCCCATCGTTTCATTGACGCGTAGACCGTTGTGGGGTTAACATAGTGCAATGTACGCAATGAGAGGATTACTAGACCAAGGGCGTAAACATATGCAACTTATGATGAGCGAGTTGCTAGGCGTTGGCAAAGTTTCTATATTATTTTATTACATTTTCTTGTTATATACTTGAGTTAAGGAGACCTCGGGAGAGTAACAGATTGCAAAACAAATTTTTAACTTCTTAGCCCTCCAACTTACTTATATCTATATGGTATAGATATTAAAATTTTCGGCCTACAGCATAATAAATATTAATTTTCTGTGGTCGTAGTTGAGAGTACTACTCATGCAGCTCAAGGGCTACGGTATTGTCTCCACTTTCATAACATAATTATTAATAATTTTAGAAATTATATTACGTTACCAATTAATTACAATATACTGATTTCTGAAACTTTAAATATACAAGATAAAAACAATCATAAAACTTTGACGAGTTAATTATTAGTTGTTTTGTACACTAATAATGGTCAATCAATTTTGGATAGTTAAGCGCTGTTTTAAGTCTTTTTTTTCATTTCATAAAAGATAATTAATAAAACAAAAATGAGATCTTTTATTAGCTGTAATACAATATAATCTAAAAAGATATTGAGCTAAAAATTATACTGAACACATGTAATTTACAAAATTATGGGTTGATGAGAAAAGGCCGTCTACTACTACTTATGGGGATGCTCGGATGGGCGATGCCTAGGCTGATGGTGAGCGTGCTGAGACTGCTGTCGGTGAACGTAGTAATTATGATAGAAATTCTTCTTTATATTATGTTGGCGAAAATGCTGTGAGGCTTGAGATGTATTTGGAACAAAAGGAGGCTGCGAATGATCAATTTGAAAAGAGCCTCTCTGCCGGTATGTTTTAGTAAGTTGGCCCTGCGCACCGGCATCGAAATGAGACAGCGGCTGCTTATGAAAAGGTTGGTGAGACGTTTGGGACGTTTTACTGTGGCCAGTCTTATAGTAAAACTGACGATGTCCCTGCTGCTGGCTGTTGCGGGTGTGAGTGTGTATATTGCTGTGGGGATGAGACTGGTGATGATGGCCTTGATAAGTACCAGCACGTGGAGCAAACTGCTGGTGTGGTTTGGGCGAATGACCAGCATGAGCTGTCTGCCCTGTCCGTGCCGCCATAAGTAAGGCTTTTTGATGATTGCGGTTACGAATAATCATTTCATGGCTAGAACTGTATTTGGGCATCCTTAATATACATAATTACTAGATATCAAACGAAAGTTACTATTAAAAAAAAGGAAATAACTGCGCAGGAAGAAGAGGCTCTGGATCAGTCCAGAAAAAGTCGTGATCTAGAGCATCAAAGGCACTTAAGCGTTTTGCAGGATCTAAGCAGAGCAGTTTATCAATGAGGTCCACCGCCTCCTCGCTCAGACTTTATAAAAGTACAAGGCGAGTTATACTCCTAGCAAGCCAAGAAAACATAAATACATTTTGTTACTCTTTAAATCTTTCACGCACAGTTCGTTGCTCGTCGGGAAATTTAAAAATATGAAACTGGGGGAGTTTCGACACCCCCTATACGATATATTAATTTATGTATACATATATAATTACTATTATTTATGTACTTTAATAAATCGTTAAAAACTCTTGACAGATACTCACCGGCCAATTTTCTTCACTGATGGTTCCACAAAGTTTACTAATTCTACGCAGTTGGTCCAACTCATCCGAACCTTTTAGTAGTTCTTCCTTCAAAAACAATTCTCCCAGAATGCAGCTTAAATAGCCCCATGATATGATTACCAGTTTAGCTGAACAAATAGAAGAATCACAAAAGAGTACAAACCCAGAGCCCCACATGTCAATCTTGGTATCATAATGCTTCTGGCCTAACAGAAGTTCCGGAGGCCGATACCATAAAGTTACTACTCGGTTAGTCAAGCCTTTGACCAAGCGGTAAAGTATATGAAAGTCGCAGAATAAGACGAATAATAGCGGAAAACCTTGCTCTTGTTGTTTAGAGTCAAACTTTCGAGCTAATCCAAAATCGGCAATTTTTAAAATACCGTTATTATTAATTAGTATATTCGAGGCTATTAATATTGGTAAAGTAAGTTAGACCGTGTTTTACGATATCACTATATTGACTTTTTTATGACCTAAAAAAACCAGAAGTGGAAGATATCAAAAGTTCTTTATTAGATTATTAATTATAGATTTGTAACTTATTAATTATATATTATATGTAACTATAATATATTTATATAAAAAAGAAGAAATAGGTTGCTATCAGACACTCATACATAAATATTACACGTAATATTTTTTTATATAAATTTTTAACCAAACACGTTAAGGATATTTACATTTTAAGTCTCTGTGTAGTATGTTATGCCTGTGAAGGTGGTGAAGTCCTTCTAATAACTGCTTAAAATAACCCTTTGTTTGCGCGACGGAAAACATGATATCATCTCTCTTCAGAAGCTGAAAAAAAATACTGGTAACAATTTATAAAAAAACTGTGCCAGAATTTTGTTAAATTTAAAAATAAATTACAGTAGTATTTGTTATATAAATTGCAAGTAAACTAAGATTCCCCGATATGTATTTAATAAACGCTTTTTTAAAGTAAAGAATTCTCTCAAAAATATAAAACTAGAGCTTCTCATTAGTAAAGCGAGAGTACACTAATCCATAAAATATTAAGATTAAATAATAAATAAATTTTGAGGAGGAAAACTCTTAAATAAAGAAAGTTTTTTATATAAAATATATAGCTCATTTAAATTTAAAGGTATTGTATAAAAACCCAACAACATAGCAATTAATGAAGACATAAAAAAAGTATTAACTCCCGCCAAATCGTGGTCCATCCACTCAAAAACCATATAAATAGATCCTCTGTTACGATTAAAATCAGACGCTCCAAAAAAAGCATAATTAGCACACAAATAAGTATAATTGTTAATATTATAATAATATTAATATTAATATTAATAACAGTAATAACACAAGTATCAAGTACCTTCACTTTGGCAAACACTTTCAAGATGGAGTATGTTTTCATGATTTATAAACCTCATTATTTTAATTTCACGCAGAGCCGTAATCGGGAACTTAAATATTTATATATTACTATTGACAAAAGATTGAAAACACTAAAAATATTGAACACAATACACTCGAATATAATATTTCTATAAAACTAACAAAAAAACATACTAATTTGTTAAAAAAAAAGTGTAGATAGTAAAACAGTGTAGGAGACAATAATTAAATAAATGTTAGCTTAAGCTCGATTTAAAAAGTTAAAAAAAAAAGCATAAAATATATATCACAAACAGATCGTCTTGCAAAAAAAAGCCTTTGAGCAAAATAAAACGGAACAGAGTCAAGTAATAAAAATTACTCCTTCCACTTCGTTTTCCATTAGAACTTTTTTTAAGGCGAATTCCCGTTTAGTTACAGGATCTCTCCCTTTGTAAACTTCTCTATTAGCATATAACAGAAACTTTGTAAGTTGTTTATATTAAAAAAAATTGTTTATATATTCTCTATTATAGAATATAACGGAAAAGTAAGTTTTGAGGATAACTAAGCAATAGTTAATCATATAGTCTACACTAATTATTAAAAACAATCAGTATAAAAAACTTTTTAATAGCTAATTATGTTTATATAAGCACGCATCATATAAAAACACATCATAAACTATGTAATTACCCAAAAGTCCCTTTTCCTACAGGTTTATCATCTCTTTGGTAATAATTTACCTGCTTACAAATGTGACCGCGTACTTCCGGCCTTTTGGTAGTTAAAATAAGTACTAAAATTACTAAAATATAGTGTGCAAAGTAACACAATTATTTAAAAAAATAAAGAAAAGGTAAAACAATAGTAGTGTACTTAATAGAAGAGACGCAAAAAACCTCAATACAGGTACAGTGGGGTTGCGAGGATGTCTTACAAGTTTTATTTCAGTATAATCAAGCTTAGGTTGAGTCTTTACTTGTGGCCGCATGCGTTGCTGTTCATGACTTTCAGAGCGTTGCAAAGGTTGTCTTCTGACTGAAAGTGGTCTAGTCTGACCAGATAACTTTTTAATTCCAGTAGGATCGGGAAAAATAGACTGCTTCGGTAAATGAGATTTGATCCTGTTTACATAGTGCCCACTTGAAAACGTTCTCTCGTAAACGTGATGTGGTAAAGTAGAAGTAGTTGACGGTAGTACAGAGAGATGAGCAAGTGAAGCAAGGTGCGTTCCAGTTTCTAGTTGAATAGTATCTTTCAACTGATCCACCCCTTTTAATTTATCCTTACAGGGTTCATATTTTCCAGTATTCTTCTCCTTACAAGCAGTTAATTCAACAGGTTTCGAATTAAGTGATAAAGGGAGAATTGAACAAGTTGTAGAAGAATCAAGAACTAAATCAACTTGCTCTACAGGACCTTCAAGAAACTCTTCCTGAATTTTTTCAGCTTTTTCAACTTTTACACACTCGTTATTTGTGGTGTAACTAGAGAAACAGTTAGTTTCACCAAAAGTACCTTTCAGCAATAATTCTGGTGGACTTGAGTTTATGGCGATCTCACCCCTTCCAAAGCTAGATTTTTCAGAATTTTTGGTGTTCTCAAATACACAAAACCCAGAATCAATTTTTTCAGTAATAGAAACTTTTTTATTTTCGTGGTGTATGTCCTCTTCATTAAGGTCTGAAAGTTTTCTTTTAAAGTTATCAACCTCACCAGATGTGTCTTCACTAATAATTTTATTATCATTCGTTTCATCGTCATTATTATTAACATCTGTCGCTAATTCTGAAATGGAACTAAGTTTATTTTTCGTTAAACAAGAATTTGTATCTATAGGATAACTTATCTCTTTCATATTCAAAAAAGACAAAATTAAAGTTTATGCTATTCTCCACGGCTCACAGAGGGTGGAGTTATAAAAACGCATCTCTTTAAAGGTCAAAAATTATTCAAAATAGCTATTAAAACGGTGGACGTCATAACGATATGGAAGAAAGAGACTTGAGTATAAGCCTTAACATAAGAGCATGCTGAAGTTTCTGAACCACCAGTTTAACACGTGAACTTGAGTAGCACACACTTATAATGGACTTAAAATCCACTATTACTGATTGACAACGTTAAAGTAACTTTAAAACATATAAAATTAACTATATCTGGACATTTTCAAGTGTTAATCTTTTGTCACTACTAAATTAATTCAGTATGCAAACCTCTCCAGGAATTTACATTGTTTAAAACTTCGGGTGAGCATTTTAGTTTTTTAACAACGAAGTTAATATAAGACACATTTAATATCTCATTAAAATTTTTAAAGCTCAGTAGGTTACTTACAAAATATTTTAGTTAGGTTCATTTTTAATCTTATTAATATTACTTCAATAACTTCTCATCATGCGCTCATGCTCAAGGAGAATATGGAATGAGTAGTAGGAATAAATAAATTTATATATGCCTTTAATTATTTAAAAGTTTATTTAGCAAATGTTATATATATGTTCTATACTTATGCTTTTAAAAATAATTGTAATTTTTTTTTAAGCTCATGCGTGTTGTACTTATATATAAACTTAAATTTTTTTTAATATATTATAACTTTGTTAAGCAGTAAACTTCAGAAGTAGTTCAATCAAACTTTTGTTCTCTCACAATGCTTCAAAAATTAATTTACCACTTTCTAGCAATTTTTTGACAATTTACGTTAACAACTTATAAATTATCGAAAAGCCACATTTTTTTTACTCTTTAAAAAGCATCCAGTTTAATGATAAAAAAATAAATTGTTCGCCTTATAAATGCTGAAAGAAAGTTTTTATTGCCAGTTACAGTATTAAAAGAAGGAAAAATACGATGGGCCTGGTTTTCTAGATAACTATCTTTAAACAACATAAATTATACCACCGTAACTTCCAAAGATTTTTTTTTTATTTTTAGGTTTAAACAACGAGCAAAGTTGGACAAATTTATTAAAGGGTAATGTAATGGATAACAAATAGCTTTTAAAGCAAAAAAGAAAAATGCATTTAGCTTTTATAAGTTTCTCCATGGAAGCTATCAAATCTCAATATTTTTTAAAAATATTATTAACTTAACGTATAAGATATGACTGATTAATAGACCGTAAAAAGAAGATTTGCTTTGTTACGGACTACTTGATCCTTCTAATTTTTCGGCGAAACCATTAATAAATCATAAAACGCCTTACTAACTATAATAAATATGAGTATTTTTGAAAAACTGATACTAGAGTTAATTTATGACTAATCTATGACCATACATTGTCATACTAATTTTATTTTTTCAAAGTTGAAGGAAGTGTTAGCAAATGTTTATCCTATAGCGTAGAGCTTACGATTAATCAATAGCGCTGTATGTGGGTTGTTAAAATTTTTTGGATACTTTAACTAAACGACTTAGAAATAAAAAAAGGTAAAACACGTGAGCATGAAGAAGAAGCAACGGAATAGATAGCATTTTTTTGAGCTTCACGAGAAAAATATATACTAATATTGCGCCTGACTCAGCACACCACTACTCATCACTATAAAAGTTATATGGTAGCAATTATTGTTTTGTCTCAAACTCTATCCTAAAGACCAAATATACCTTCGGATCGCACATACTGCGAGTGGTCAGATGGAAATCAGCTGGCGACAAAGCTTTCATCTCCCATGGTGCGAAAAAAAAAGGACGCGCACTTTAGATATTAAATTTTATATATTGGCTTTAGATAAACTTCTTAAATCGAATAATTATATATATGGTAACTTTAATGACTACTCGTGAAGGTCCATGGTCCTAAAATCCTTTGTAATTTATATGCTGTAACTCAATTATGGTTTTCACAAAATATTTGAGGTTTAGTTTTTCAAAAATAAAGTTAAAGTTAAAAGTTAAAATTAAAATTGTCTCTCTATTGGTAGAAATAGTTGCCCATCCTTTTAGCATTGGACTTGTGAGCATATCGTTAACAAATTTTTAAAGACTTCTAATTATAAACTGTCTTGTTCAGTTAGTTGTGTTTCAACCACTGTGGATGCTGCCTAGACGTAATACCAAAATACTAGTGAAAGGTAACGTTGCGTGCGATAGTTGGCGAGCCGGTCTGCTCATTACCGGCAGCAACTTTTTTGTCGCGCTTGCAGCGCAGCTACATCAAGGGGTAATTAAATACCCATACAGGAGTCTATTAATGGAAGGCACCTTGACGACGTGTAAACATTTGCACTTCTTTGTAAAAAGCAACATCCATGCGATGGCGCCCAGAGAAAACGGAACGTGTTGCAACCAGCGGGCGTAATAGAGAGTGCCCGGGGCGGACACAAACGGGAAACGTAGGATCACTCTGAAATGACTAGAAGACGTAAAAGGTGCGAGGGGCGCCCAACGTTTTACAGCTACTTAAGAGCGTAAGTGTCTCGGAAGCTTTTTTAGAAATTTCTAGGAAGACGTCATGAGCAGTTCTTTACTAATAAAAATGTGTTGTCCACTCGACAAGGCGCAGAGGACTGCTGTGTTTGTAAACCCAACTTGGAATTTTTCAGTACATCCCGCGCAGTAGTTTTCAAAGTAATTTGTTAGTTGTAAAGTTCTGTAATTAAAATATTGTGATAACAATAAAAGCCTTTTAATTTTTTTTTTTCTTAAAAGATGTGGTAGATTCTTGTGAAAAATTTTATATTAGTAAATGTTTTTCAAAACTCTAAAAAAAAAAGGGAGGCTAAATTTATAAGTTTATTCTTAATTATTATTTTACTTGAAATAAATTTATATAGAAGTCTATAGTCTTTCTTGTACTTAATTTTTATAGTTCTTTACTATTTTTACAAGGAATGACAAAAATAGACTATATTAAAAGACCTATTATTAAAATTCAGACCTTATTCTTAGCTATTATATAATTTCATGTATATTTTTTAAGGTAGCATTTTTATTTGTATATTAAGTATCTAAAACTTTTTTTAAATAATAGTATTTAAATGTAAACGCGGGGCATATACCAAAATATTGAATTGAGTGAAAAAATAAACATCTATTCGTCTGCGTGTGCCCATTAGCATTTTGAAAAGTTATTCGCTCAACACCTAACTAGTTGACGATAGCTATAAATGGTGTACATAACGTAAAACACAAAAAAGTAGAGAGATAAAACTTATCCTAAAGAAATCTTAAAAGTAATCGACCTGTAAACAGGAACAGTTAGTATTTGATATAAGGTCTATTCTAGTGTTTTATGATAAAACAACGCCCTTTTACATAATAGATTATATGTGCCGAATATACATCAAAAATTTAATAAAATAGTAAACTTTTAACTCTTTAATGAAGAATAATGGTCTACTATATTTCATAAAAAATGTAAAATACGGTAAAAGGAAGGCAAATGTGCCTGCTCAGTTTCTAGTTTAGTGCCCTCATTTATCATAATTATATACTTGTACGTTACTTTCGGCAACTTAAAATATTACCCAGATTGCTCTAGGTTTATATACTATTTTTGTTAGAGGCTTCCAACAACTCATACAATCAAGCTGTCAACAATTTTGCATCTCCGCCGCTTGCGAACTTTTGGAACATCAGTTAAAGGCGCACTAAGATCTGTGACCACGTGCATGTCTCTTCCAATTAATTTCCATATACATCGCGCTACCGTGTCTTTTTCATACCTTTTCCCTCCCCACCTCTCCATTCCTAAGAATATTATTTTTAACATGGAAAAACTGCTCCTCTCTGGTCTTGGTAGATACCTGTAAGCCTTTTCCTTAAGTAGACTTATTGTGGTTTATTACATTATACCTTATTTTCTAAACAGAGACTGTTACTAATGCCCACCTTTGGGCAATATTGAGAACTTTTAAAGTAATACAGTAAAAGTTAAAAACTGAGCTACCTTTCATTAAGGGACATGGAAGTCTAAAATTTTATCTTTCTAGAGTGTTAACATTAACGCTCCTTTCGGCTTTAGTCCCTGTAGATCAAAGCAGTTGATTTTCCAACTTTACAACCTTTGCAGCTTTATAGACTGGGGTCTTTAAAAACTATAAACAAACTACAAAGCAAAAAGCAAGACCGATAATTAATTATTAATAAACATAGATATATGGTATAAAAAAATATCGTCCTGGAATAATTTTGCTTTTCTTAATCTGATAGCATCTTAGATTATGTAGTGCGAAATAACAATAATATGACTTATGACTTAGCAAAACTTTTGGGGGAGCTTGAAATTTTAACAAGCTCTATTATCGGTCTGTTTTGTATACTGAAAAATATCGAAGTGGGGATGGTTATGCCCACGGGGCTATACTATACGAGTTTAAACAGTTATAGGCATTAACAACAGATAGTTAGTTCATTGTCATAAGAAGGTTTTTATCTAGCAAGTTTAAATAAGATGCCGTAATAGGTGATAATTTAAACAGCTACTAATCAGTCTAACCAAAAATGTCATGCAATTAGATGGATAGCCTGTTTCTCGTTTCCAAAAAAAATATAACTTTATTTTTTCAAGGATTTTTCATATAATATTCGACAACCTTTTCGCCTTTAGGGAGTATTAAATTATTGTACGCCTTGTTTAGTCTCATAATCTATATTATTAAAAACTTTGCAAAGTTCCTCACTAAATTTGCAAAATGAAACGGTTATTAAAATAGCTAATTTACAGCTAACCAGAAACCAACTTAAGTTCCGCAAATTTAGTTTCTAAACTTATCATATTTTCCATCACTTTGACCGTTAACTTTCCTAAATTTGTAACTACAAAAAGTTGCGTAGTTTCGTAAATTTTTGGAGTTCAAACTACCTGCATGTGGCTTTTCGACCCTTCTTTTCTTAGATGAAACACTTTGTATGATATTATTTTCTTCCTTACTTTCTTATGATAAAAATTTAAATAGGTACTAATTTCTTTCTTTAAAAAAAAAAAATTAGCGTTTTAATTTTTTACCTTCAATGCTGGTATTTTCATGTATTTCTATACTTTCTATTAATTTTTTTATGGGTAATTGTTGCGGTCCCCCTCCATTAATGTTGGAAAATTCTTCCGTACTCTTTAAACTCTCCACGCTACATGCGATGTTTTCCTGCTCTTCTAACTTCAAAGTACGTACAACTATATTATTTTCGGGAGTCCTGTAGTTTTTTGAGAGGTCGCGAGTGTTCTCGAAATAGTCAGTGGCCAACATAGCTAAGAATAGCACCTTGTTTATGTCGAAAGTGATTAAATTTTGAACTGGGTCAAGTCAAATATAGCCTTATTTCCCCAATTGTTGGCTAGATTCATAAAAAAAATTGTTTACGATATCTATATAATAAAAGTAACGCTTCAACGTATATTTGGTACCTTATAACATTTGCTTTTGCGCGATTTTTAAACTAGTTATCATGAAACCTATTAGCCCTTTATATCTATACATACGAGATTCTTTACAAACGAGATAACAATGACATAAATGACTAATTCAATATTTAAATCAGTATCAAGTTTATTAGTGAAATGTTTAGAAGTGTAAGAGACCCGCTTATCTATTTAATTTATATGTAAAATTTGTTACTTTATTGTGACTTTACACTATAGGCGACACATTAAAAAATGTATACATGCTTACATTAAATAAAATAACATTTCTGAAAAAACTGTGTTGAAGACCAAGTAATAGTAAAACTAATTTTTCTTACTATTTGACCTTAGTGCTTAATCAATACTATTGTGTAAAAATAAGGAAAATGCTCTGAAGGTGCGTATGTTGGTGTATTTAAAGGGTGGTTTCACATTTTTCTTATTATCAAGTTAACTTACTTTTTAATAAATTTCAAGGGTAAATATCAGTTTTTTCGAGCCAAAACGATGCTGCAAAGGAAGATGGTTTATCATGGTTATATGTGCATTGTGTCACTAAAATGGACATGTTAGGCTATATTAATATGCAGAGCAAATCAAACCAATGTCAATATTTTATCTTTAAATTTTTGTGGTGTTTTTGTGAATTTCTAAGTAAAACCTAATAGCAAGTTTGTATATTGAGATTAATGATTTTTATGACTCATACAGCATATTTGTGAACGGCAAAACAAACATCATCCTATTGCAGTCATTTGGGTTACCAAGTCCAGTTTGTTCGAACCGTCCAACGCATGCAACTCGCAGAAAAGGCCTTTATGCCAGACTCCAGTGAAATCTCTCTCAAGGTCTAAAAAAGCTGTTTAACGTTAACATTCAATCTTAAAAGTTTTGCCTTTAAGCTTTTTACCTTAAACTACCATCACAACAATTATGCCTTTTACTTGGTCGTTTATTGATTTTTTAAACACAATTTGACCTGAACCTTTAACTAAAATGCCGGTAATCCACTCTGCGTTCCTGTAGAGAGCGGGCTGATTGAGCGGTACTTGCATTGTAAGTCACTGCTTCTCGAATACAGCACAAGAGTGACTTTTTATATCTCATTGGTAATTTTACGAGGGTGAGCGGTTCCTTGTCAACTTCATCTACTGTGCTTGACTGATCGGTTTCTTAGTGTGGTCATAGGGTCGGCTTGCCTTGCCGACAGTTCCAGTAATAACTTTCTCATTACACATTGCTGGCAACATTGTGCAACAGCAGTACTTGCTTGCTTGGCGAAGCACCAAATTGAGGACCTTTCCTTGTTTTCCGCTTCAGACATGAATTGCACTTTCGCCTTCGAGCGACTGTTGATGCTCGATCTGTTCTTTTCGAGGAGTCTAAAAGATAGGTTCCTATTCAGATACCTTTGAAGCATTGCGTAGAGCAGACAAGTTTATTATCTGGTTGAAATTCGCTATCAAGATCTGTAACTGTCGCGGTAGAGCGGGCAGAAGTTAGCGCATCTTTAAAGGTTGCTGGCAACAGGCCACAGGAGGGGTAGATTAGGGCAACGCTTCGCTCCAAAATTTGCTTAAAATTTTAACCAGCTAGCCCAGATAGGTTATGTTTACCGTCCTTTTTCTCGAGTAATCTCATTATATTGTCCTTAACTGAGGTGTGTTAAGGAAAATATGAAGCTTATACAGAAATTGGCGACGTCGTCGAAGAGTCAAATATCGGTCGGCTTCGTGCCAACCGAGCTGAGGCTAATTCTTAGACTCTTGACAGGTGTAGTAGGTTTCCCTGTGTATATAAAGCAACGTTCCCCTTGCGCTTGCAAGGACGGTCAACGCGATCCGTAATGTAACTGTAGAGTAAGTGTCTTGGTCAATTTTAGTTTAACTACGCTTGACAGCGGGACGTTTCGATTCCAGCAGCTGTCTTTAATACAGTGCACGTAATTCTCATTTTACGGCAAAAAGTGCAGATAGCATGTGGGACAAAACAAGTAATGGGCACCAGGTCAATTATTGCATAGAAAAGTTGTCCCAAAATTTGTTTTAAAGGCGTACGCGTAACCATCTCAAGGCCAAAAAGTGTGAATTGCACACCCGCTTATTACGTTATACTTTTACTTTCGGGAGGCTCTCTTTATTAAAGTGAGAGCTTGCATGCATGCGTACTAATCAGTAGGCAGCTAAAACAATTTTTAGGATATAACGAATGTTTATATTAAGTTGAGTATGCATCACTAAAAACCTTCCTCGAATTATCCCTTACGGTTTTTAAGATAAATTAGATGGTATCAGAATTTTGTTTATAGGGAAGTTGTTTATGTACTTACCAGACCAGAAAAATGAGAGGTGGCACCAAATGGAATCGAACCCGCGGCCTTGAGCTTGCACAACAATGTTCTAAACACTGAGCTATGAGGACAACACACATCTTTAGATAAATTTCGTATACAACTTATGTTAGATACTATCTTATATTTAGTTAAGGAGAATCTAGAGACTTAACTGCTAATAAAACTCCTATTAATATCAAGTAATCCATAATTTTTTTTTTGTAGTAGCGGTACGGCTCAATTAACTGTTCAGCACACTATCTTACAAACTTCTGCATTTTAGACTGTAGCGAGTAGGTTTAATGGAAATTAGAAAGCTTCCTACAGTAATGATAGCTATAACTCTTTCGCTAGAGATTAGCTGTTTCCACCTTAAACTTTGTTCCTTGCCCTAATGTGCTTTATAATATACAGGAATTGGCCCCGACCTTGCGATTAAATGCAGTTAAGTATTTTACTTACATTACATACTCCATACAACTGCGATCCAGGTTTATAAAAGAAGGGTGCACTTACCGAGGGAGAGTGCTTCATTGCGCCGATAAGTGAAGTCACCTAGTCAGGAATGTGGTTGGTGCTGTGATGGTCGATCAAAGAAATCATATACTGTGCTTCCCTTGAAAGAATATTAAATTAAAGTGCGGTATTCTTAAAAGAGAACCCTAAGGAAATATAATTTTTAATAAATAGATATTAAAAAAATTTATTTATTCTTATGTATCTTTCCTTCCGTTACTTTTGAGCTTCTTGTGACTGTTTAGATATTCTCAACAATCTCAGTTTTTTTATAAGCTCTGTGCTTACATCCTTATATTCGTGGGTACCCTCTCGCTTTTATTATAAAAAGCGCTATTTACAACGCTTGCATCCAGTCACTTCAATTATATATAGGTAAATTTTAATATTGGGTTAAAAAAATACCATAAAGTAAACACAGAGATCATTGATAGCAAATTAGCTTTAAGATGTCCGCTATCATAAGAGAAAAATTTTCTCGCACAGGCCATCCTAATTAGGAAAGCGGAACTACGACGCAAGAAAAATCTGGTTGCTATTTACGTATAATTGTATTTGATTACTTTTGTAACCGCCTTTAGACTTGGAAGAAGTTGATTTCTGCTTTAGACAGACTTACTACTGAAAACATCAGTTCATGTGGCAGAAGGCAAAGGATTTGGTTTCCTCCTCTGTAAACTCTTTGCTGGCTAACCAGCCGGTTTCCCAGTTATACTATCAAAACTATATTGAAAGTTTTACACCTACAGAAGAGACAGTAACCTACATTGAAGCTAAATCGCATGACGGGGTACCCTACTTTATAATTTAATGTTAAAAAATAAGAAAAATTATTTTTTGGTAACTTTTAAATGAACTTACGTGCTTTACTTAACCGGTCGTAAGCCGTCCATTTCTTATTATTGCGCTCTCGAGAGCAAAAAAGAGAGAAGAGTTATATTGAAAAAAGACCATCATTGTAAAGTGTGTAAAGTAAACATATTATATTAACCATGTTTTTTATGTGAAAAAAAAAAGGATTTTTTTAAAAAGGTGTCCTTAACTAACTTGACACGTTTCTCTTGTGAAAATTGTGGTGAATCCCTTTGCAAAGAGCATATTGAAAAACAGCTAATTCCCAACTTTGAGGAAGAAGGTTTAAAAACTGTATGTCCTCGTTGTTATGCGAACTTGGAATTGACTAGGCATTTTAACTATTTTTATTTCACACTTTGAATTTTATAAAAAACGCTATTAACACCTTCCAGGTATATTCATCGCCTTACTTTGAGAGCAATAAGGGTCTCAGATTATTTTAACGATGAACTGGGAGAGTTTATACCTTTTGAAATTAAGGTTCTCTCGATTACTTTTTTGTTTTCTATTTTTTATTGGCAAGGACTTCGTCTTTGCTATTTAAGAACTAAACTAGTATTAAAATATAGAGCTTTTTAATTCAACTTTATATTTAGTTGTTATGCACGCCTAATTTTAATTGTTTAGTTCACGTGTTACCTAATATACGAAAAAAGTGTAAATCCGACTTACATATGCTTTGTTATCTACATTTTGAATAATTTTAGCTATCTATTATATTGTAATTCTAGCGATTGCCAAACTATTTTAATAGCCCCTTCAACAATATAAGTTATGTTTTTACAATTTTTAAAAGATTTCTTACTTTTTGAAATGTCTTCCATTTTTTTTTTGGAATTATAGGACACCTACATTGCTAAAGTCAAGCGAGGGCTTGATTATGGGTTAAGGGTAGGCTCCTACCTTCCCATAGGGACCTTCTGGAAGAACACCGTCAAGGCCGCCAACGTTATCTTTCGCCATCGCGAAAAACTATGTAATTGGCTAGGTAATCAAAACTGGCGTTGATTAGGTTTATATTTACTGAACCGTAAGCGTCTTTCGTTTAAGGAATTTATTACTTTTCTCACTGTCTTTTAATAGGATGTTCATTATTTTTGGTAGAAATTTCACTTAAAAAAATGATGAACGTATAAAGAATGTAACAGAAAACCAAAATATTCCAATCTAATGTCTTAAAAATTTATTCCAAAATTTCTTTAGTTTTTTTTCTCTACCAAAAAACAAAAAAGTAAAACGATTAAAAATAAGGATATTTGGTGTATCGTGTACGTGGTTTTTCATCACACTTGGCCGAATGGAGGAAGCCCCGATTGCGGGACGTATTTTAATGAGCACTTATTACTCAACCTTTTTCGAGGAAGGAAATTCAGATTTAAGCGGTTTAAGATCTTTTATAAGATCGGCTGTAGATTTCTAGTGCCGAAAAAAAAAAGATATATATTGGACTTCATCTTTAATGTTTCCATCCCCTTTTAATCAGGCACCCTTTTTTTTAAGGTGGCGGGAAACTATCAAACAGAAGATTACGCTCTTTGGAATAATCTGTTTTGTCTGTTAATAGAGCCAAATATATTAAAAAATGCCTTTTTCCCACTATATATAATTAGCTCTAGGCGGGTTGTACTTTTTTTTATAAAGTGCGTTAAAGTAGATTAGTCGAGTTGTAACTTTCCACATATTTTTCCACCAAAACGTGGCCGTTCGAATAGCAAAATACTAAACACAAGTTAGAGTATATATATTTAACAAAATGATTTTAAGTTAAGTAACTAAGAAATCTAGTTGCTAGATGTTGCAATGGAGGTGCTGCCTAAAAGATTTGGTTTTTTACATAAAAAAGGTTATTTTGATTATAAAGCATGTAACCTGCATGAAGTCTATCTTTTTTTAAAGGTTGCTGTATAGTTGAGATTGTTACTAGTAAATTTTTTTATCTGATCCCTCTTGAGTAAGAGTTGTGTGCATTAACTTCTTTCCTGAAGCTGAAACCAAAGAAAATTTTACGCTAATATAAGAAGAGGCTGCAAGCAGAAAGAAACTTTTACCTATTTACGTTATAAGTAGAATCTTTAGCATTTATAAATATATAGTAAAAGCTTAATATAATATACAAACTTATACCTATAAACTTGCGTATAATTCTCGAACAACTATATATGAAGGAATAAGTGAAGAATTATTGTTTACGGCAAAAGCATTATATAAGGCTCAGTTGTTTACCAAAAAGAGCTTTTCCACTCGTGAAATTGCAATAGCGCTCTTTTATTTAAGTGCCGAGAAGCGCTGGAAGAAGGGTATGTAATATGGTTTGATTGTAAAAGTTATTTCTTATTATAATCTCCGATATGACCACTTTATGTATATATACAGGATGTCTACCAGAGTGTGATTATTCTTCCATATTTACAAAGAACAGTAGTTCAGCATCTACCGAAGGACCGCCCCGACCCGCGGAGAGTTAATGATGAATAGTTGTATTCTACAAGTAAATCTTAAAAGAGAGTTAATTTCTCAAGATGCTTTAATAACTCCCAGCGATGAAGAAGTAGACCACCTTCTTTACTACCTGAGCAAAATCTTGTTGTTTGCAGAAGACGAGTTCCAGCTACAACGGTCGCTACTTTTTCTTTTTATTAAAAAATTGTTTACGTGAGGCAACGTGTAGTATAATAATTAGTTATAAAAGTAGCGGTAATAGTTATCTAAAGCAGATTACTTAAGCAAAAACGACTTTCATTACTCTACTCTGAATGCTCAAGCAAACTTTTTAAACCAGCGTTCTATCTTGCGGTCCCTTTCGCAATATAAGCGCCCTTTCTCTATTTATTGAAGTGTTATTTGTTGATAAAAGGTTAATAAAACACAAAAAAAGTTACTACTTGTTTTACGTGGAACAACGGATATTTCAGACTTCGTAACAAATTTAAATGTACTTTCATCATAAATATAAATCTACCGTCTTTTTTTTACGGCTGTTATTTTCTACGTATAGTTCCACCAGCAAACATTCAAGGCTGCCAGGGAACCAAACTTTTTCTGGGAGAACTGCTCTTTTTCCGATTCTGCTTCTATCGCTGTAAGCCTTAATAAGCTGGATCAAGCAGTCACACGATTCGCATTGGCTAATCCTTGGGAAACTGACATCTCAGGTAAGTATTTCTACCTGATACTCAAACTTCACTAAAGCGACTACTAAAATCTGCTCTTTACGTAAAAGGAGTATTAAATAAGTTCAATAAGAAATCTAACTGGATTACTAGAACAGCTCTTCAAGAACTTAGTAACAAGTGCACATTTATATGTTTACCTATTTCAATTTTGTGCTAGTTTAATAAGGATGTTAAATTAATTAAAGTAAGAATTAAAACATGGAACACACAAATATATTCGTTGGAAAAAAAAAAACGCTTTTAATAAGTATATTAAAATACTAAATATCCATACCTGTTTACTATAGTGAGAGTCAGGATGCATAAAGGTAGCAAAAAAAAATTAAAAAAAATACCACACAAATATGTTGGTTAAAGTAAAAAATTATCAAAAATGTTTTACTGCCAAAAAATAACAATTTTTTGGTTCAAAAATAATTAATTTGGGGTGCTTATTACATTTTACATTACGAAAGCTATATTGTATATGGCATCCGCTAACTAAAAACATGGCCTTCGTCTATTAGTAGCTACCAGTAAGAGATATTTCTTTTCTCTCTTTTTATTTTGTCTAGGACTTTTTCTGTGAGAAACAGTTTAATAAATAATGCATAAAAAAAAATTTTTTAGCGTGGGGTAATTTTTATCATACTTGCATCAGTCACTTATCATCTGGTATTAACACTGAGGCCTAACATAATTACAAAAAAAATTGTAGGTTTGCACAAAATGGCATTGACCACATAAATGACACGACAATTGAACTTTGCAGCGAACTGCTGTTCTCTACACTCGACCATATTTCCCGTCTTGCCGGAGTACAAGTCTCCGAGGGATCTCGGACGCCCGAGAGACAGGTGGTTCGTGGAAAGGCACACGCAGGTATGCTCATGGCCGCCTACTGGGTGTTCACGGAGGTTTATCTCTCACTGAAGACTTTTAGCGAGAGGGGTTATAAGGTCCTCTCCTCCCGTACTTTCATTATTTTTCTACTGCTCCATGAGAGTCTCCTTCTAATAGGTCATAACGACCGGTCACTCTCTAGGCGCAGGAGTGGCTACATTACTTACTCTGTTATGTAAGCCTTACATTGAAGGTTAAATTTCCGCTAACTCTTTGTGTACCTCATGATAACTTTTTGAGTAAGACATTGATTGCTATGCGTTTGGCTCGGCTCCAATAGTTGATAAGGTTGTGTTTAAAAAAATACATTTTTTTTTTAGATTTTTAATTTTCCAGGAGTTGCACCAATATACTAAAAACTGCGTAAAATCGGTAGTGAATGGGAATGATTTTATTCCGAGGTGGTTATTCTTTTGTGTGTCCTTTATGTGGTCGCACTTTTACTTTGTTCTATATGCAGACTATCGTATAGGTCTATGCTCGCTTTGCTCGAAGAATTAAGGGAGCACAAGGATTCTTTTGTTCCTATATTGAAGGTTGCCGGTTATCTTTGTAAACTTTGCTTTTTATCTTATTAAAACTCCAGGAAGACATTGCCGCTATTAGCAAGCATATATCAGAAGTTTGGGTTAAAAATTTTCAGTGATTATTTATAAACAAGTATTAAAGTAAGTAGTTTAATTTTTTAGTAACACAATATTTAGTGACCAGCGCTATTCAACTGTGCGGTGACACTTTATTAAATGAACAAGCACTTTTTTTCGTAGCAGAGCTATAGCACACAAGCGTGATACACTTTTTTGCGCGTTATTTTTTATTTGGTAGATAAAAATATTGAAGCCAAAAGTTTTTATTTAAAATATTATTGACATAAAAATTATCAAATAATAACAGTTTATATGATTAAGTTTTAATGGTATCTAAAGCATACTTTATCTTGACGGTAGGCCCCCCGACAGCGGTTACCCGGAAAAAAGTTAAGCGAAACGGTAGCAAGCGATGCAGATAGTGGAAAGACCGAAACAAATAATACACCTTCCGACAATAAGCTCTCCAAGATTTTCAACTCCTTTTCATTTTCCGGAAGCGGCCAACAAGTTGAGGAAGAGGATGCTAGTGGCGAGGACGAAGAAGGCGCCGAAGGAAATTACGAAGTGGATCTTTATTTGCCAGGAGAAAAAGTCTTATATATCTATAAAGTAAGTGTTTTTTTTTTTTGACTTTTCCCCCTTGGCCGTACGCTAATCGCCTCATTTCTAATAAAAAGGTTAAAGGTCGCGAGCAGTGCAGATACTTGGATCCTCTTGCGGCGCCTCACGTGAACGACATCACGCTTCTCTATCCGAGCATGTTTGTCCACCATAAAGCTAAGGTGTACTACCAGTCCCTTCTCAACTACGAGCGCGCTCTCCTAACACGCAGGCAAGGGGCCTTCACTCGGGCTTCGCTTCTTTTGCGTGCTAACCTTCCTACGCGCAGGTACCAGCAGGAGCACCCCCGCACAGAAAAACCGGGAAAAGAAGGTCGATCAATCGAGCTTCTCGAGCTTGACCACATGCCACTTTGGGAAAAGTTCAACGCACGCGATTTTTGTGCGCTGTGTGATTGTGATTTCACGTGGAACTCGACCAGTCATTCGCTTCGCCAGCAGTATTTGGACAGACACAACTGCCGCCGGTGCGGCTGCCTTGTCTGTGAGGGCTGCAGTAAGCACCGCCTGCCGCTGCCAGAGTTGGGCATCTTCGAGCCGACTCGGGTTTGCGACTCGTGCGTTTTCCGGTAAAGTGGCAAAGTTCTGCAATTGTTTACACTCATAAAAAATGAATATATGGAAATAAAAAAAACTTTTATTCTAAAAGTTTAATTAAAAAGGCCTATCTCGGCCATTTTCAATGAGAAGTGCTTTTCTACTTGACTTTTTCTGGATTCCAGCAGAAGTGGCGGTTTTGGTTCATTGAGTCTACCAAAAATTTATTTAAGTGCTGTGCGAATTGTCTTGGGCAAGAACTTACTCAACGTCTCCATATCCTCCTGTTCCAGCTGGAAATCAAAAATATTAATATTATCTCTGATCCGCTCAGGCGTCTTTGACTTTGGAACAGTCGCTGGAAATTAATATCAACTTTTTTAAATAAAATAGAATTAACTTAGTAACAATAATACGAAGGTTATGTTGGAATGCCCAGCGGATTAAAACTTGAGACGCTTTTTTTTTGTGTTTCTCGGCGATATTCAAAACTTTGGGATCGTTAAGGAGCTGAAAAAATTAATTCTCAGAAATATAGAAAACATTAATTAAGTAAAAAGAACTTTTCCTGTTCCCAGAGGAGAATAGGACTCAAAAACGATATCGTTATCTTTGCAAAACTTGATTAACTCGGAAGGATAGCAGAGGGGATGGCACTCTACCTTTTTTTAATAGCAGGTAAATTTATAGAAAAATAACCGGAAAAAACTCATTTAAGAAAACAACAAAAAAAGCTAATTGGTGAGTCGTTTTCATAAAAAAAAGTCAACAAGAAGCAAGCAAAAAACTTTCTAAGTTAATAAATAAGAATAAAGCGAGTCACTTTTAAATTAATTATGGGCTAGAATATAATAATAATGACTTAATTACAATAACAAAATACAATAACCGAGTATTATTAGCATACCTGGTTGACTGCCGGCTTTACTTTGCAGTCTTCAAGAAGCTCTTTAAGATGCTTTATTTCATAATTAGACACTCCGATAGCTTTTACTCTTCCTGATCAAAATATATACGCCAGTCATATTATAACTTCTGTTTAAATGTTTGAAACTTAACCAGATTGATAGAGTTCTTCTAAAGCTTTCCAGGACTCCTTTCGTAGGGACGCATTTTGCTCATCATTAGGAGAGAGCCGCTCTACGCCTTTTATTTTTAGATAAAAAAATTAATAAAGAAGTATGACAAATTATTTCAAGTGAAACCTGGCCAGTGTATTAGATAAAGATCCAAATAGCTTATCTGCAAATTGGATAAACTCTGGTTATAAGCGGAAAGAGCTTCCTTGTAACCGTGATCTTTACAGTCTTAAGAAAATAATAGAGACATTTATTGACAGTAATGGTAATAGAGATACCTAGCTTTGATGTAATAAAGAGTTCCTCTCTCTTTATGCTATTGGATTTGAAAAACTCCTGGAGGACTTCACCAATTTCTTTTTCGTTATTGTATACTGCGGCGGTATCTATTTAGTAATTATAAACGGTTTCGAAGTTTTCCTTAACGAAGAAAAGAAACCTATATGGTGGTAGCCGAGAGAAAGTGCCGCTTTCACGGCTTCCTTAACTTCTTTTCCAGGATTCAAGTAAGTTCCCACTAAGTGAAATAAGGGTAAACGCTTGAATGTGCTTGCATATACTTATTAAAAAAAAACTTAACTTACAGCCTATCATGGGCATTTTAGCTTTTGTATTCAAAGTAATAGTTTCCATCTTAATTAATGAACAACTTTCAAGACAGCTATGGATCGTCAAGAATTTATTAAGCACAATAGTTAAGCTATTATAATATTTTGAAAGCTAGTTTAAGAATATTAACCTTTTCAATCTAAATTAGGTAAGATAATAAGTTAAAAATTTTAGTAACTTGCCATTTATAGCACTAGGTTTTTTTTGATTTTAAAACGTAGTTTGTAGCCATTATATAGCAATAGCATGTATAATTAGTAATCCTTTCGCATAGAAAATGTGCTATTTAACTAGAAAAAGAAAACTTTAATCAATTTCCTCTAGACGTGTCTTTTTAGAAAATGATATATACCTGTCATTACAATGTATTTAAAGTTTAAATATCCTATACTTGGATGTAACTACTGGACTTTAACTTAGTTAAAATTGTTAAGTGCACTACTATAAACGCTAAAAGGCGAATTTATCTGTTTATCACAACTTGTGTGGACCCTGTTCCCTAATTAAATAAAAGTTTGAGATCTCTGTTTACTTGTTTTGGCAAGAGTTCTGGGTAGAGGGGCCAATGGTTTTGTAATAGTAAATCGCATTAACTGTATATGGATTTCTTCAGAATATATTAATTTAAATAGAACTCGGAGGGCTTACAAGAGCATTTATAGTTATATTTAAGCAACCCTGCTCTGCAATGAATTGTATTAAGTCGTTCCCAGCACCAAATTTATTCTAGCTCAGCTCTTTCTTAAATCTTGCTTAACCAGACAAGTTTTAAGAAATTCGACTAGGTTATGCTCCTAAGTTAATTTGTACTCTAGTATAATAGCGTACGCTAGTATTATTTACTGATGTATAGTTACAAGACGAACGCAAGTCTGGTCATGCTCTATAAGAGAGTATATATACTTGTATAATGCTTCTCCTACCTCACTTTTTATTATTCGGGTGTGGGTGTTAGACAATTCAATTAGTTCTTTTTCTTTGCTACGTCCACATCATTGGTGTAGGCACTATAGTTAATTTGTAATAAACTTTGCAGATGGAGGGTATATTTAACAAAGTAACGAAGAGAGCTCGAACTAAACGGGAAACTGCTGTGAAATTGCTAGCGTACGTTATTATACTTAATTTAAACTTTTTTTTCCATTATTTGAATTAGTTGCTATAAGAGTGAAGGATGCCTTGTAGAAGGTAGGTTAAAAGATTAATAACCTTTCAACAGTTTAGGTAAATTTAGGTTACTGGTAAAATCATATCGAGTCTTTGACCTGCCCGTAAGCAGACCCTTATTTTTGAACCAAAAGAAGTTCTTACGGCATTAAGATCTGGGGTAATTTTGGGGCTTGCTCCCTAAACTGCTTGCAAAAAAAGTTTCTTTTTGTAGATTTTAGGATTAATCTATTAGAATTTATGTGGGCGAGGTTAAAGCGCGAAGACCCAAAACAAGAGTCGCGTCGAAGGGACTCGAAACCACGCTTTAAGGCTGCGCGTCAATTTTCTTAACCGCTAAGCTACGGCGACAATTCTCTATTCCGGTGTGATGGTTTTACGTATTTAACCTCTTACAATCTTGTAGCGAATGAATTGTATGGTATGGGCTAAACCACTGGGATTCAGATTGTATATTTTTGAATAAATATAAAGCTTATTTGTTTTGTTAAGTATTAACCCCCTCCCCCCACCCTTTTTTTTTTAAACAAATTTTGCTGGGCTTTTTAGTACGCTTAAAAGAGTTGCTTGCTTTCTGGCTAGTGGACAATAGTATGTATAGTAGAGCAGAGAAAAAGCTTAAATTAATCATAAATCATTCTTTAAGGCACGCAGCAACCTATACCTTTTCCAATGATAAGCTGTTATCTACTACAGAAACTAAGTATTTATTTACTTTATCTGGTTTAAAATTGCATGTTCCATTGTGATAAATTACCTTACTGGTCTATGTGGAAATACTCCGGTTAATATTCTAAACACCTTGACATGTATGAAAAGTGTACCAGACTCATGCTTAAGTCTTTTTACTTCAGGAATGTAATGTATTTGTAATCAATTAAAATTGTGAAAACTTGAGCTGTAGAATTACAGCTTAATAATTCTTACTAGCTAAGGAAGTTCGTTAACTTATAAGCTCTTCTAGTGATTTTTTGTTATCTTGCTAAAATGCTTGGGGGGGGGGGAGGGAGAAATGTTAGCATAAAATGCCGGTTGGATACTTAGAGAAAATAAAGGTAATAAATGGGTGCAGTTGGTATAATAGTAGTTTTAATTTTTTTTTTTGCTTTATTATAGTAATTTTTTTCAAAAAAGTAGTATTATACCATCCAGCTATCTTTGTAGGCTCCACTAGCAGTTTTTTAACAGGGTTTAAGCTTAGGGCTATCTTGCACATAATAATAGCCTTGTTGAGACAGATAAAGGAACCTTAAGAACAATGCTTTACTCTGCTATCGTTTTAAAAATAGATAAATTTCTTTCATAAATTAAAATTTTTTTTTTTAGTTGGCAAAAACCTTGCGGTATCAAAGTAATGAACGTTTCTGTATGATAACCCTCGACTTATTCAACCCTTGAAGGGCAAAACTCCGGGGCTTAAATGAGATTTGTTCTTTTCTGCAAAATAGTATCCTATCTTGAAACTCTAATTTAAAGTCCAATATATGATTTCAAAATTTAATTCTATATATCCCAATTAATATTACAAAATAAAACAGTAAACAAATGTTTACTTACCTATCTAACCAAAAATAATCTTCTTACATCCAGTATGAACAATTTTTTTTTCCAATAAAAAGATCGCGGAACACATGCTCAACTTAACGTACACTGGTAACTAAATTTACCACTCTTTTATGTTTGTTGGTTGATGCCTAATTCCGTTAAAACATGGAATTTAAATTTATTAGAGCTTGTATCAGAGACCGAGTCTGCCGTTAAGATTTAATTCCATAGACCTACTTTTGCAAACTGAAGCTAGGCGACAAGTGGTAAACATAGTAACCAGTAAACAATAATGGGCTAATTTAAGTTGTCCTGCTGGTAAATTGCAGTTTACTAACAACATTACTAACAAGGTAATTACCAAAAGAATGTACTGATCGAAGTTTTTTTGATAAATAAGGGAAACAAGACTTTGTAGACAACCTTTTTAAAGTATGAATGGAATGGTTATTATAAGCCAAACAGATAAAGATATCAGTACCAACGTAGATAATGTTGACCAATATCCGCGCTTAAAAAGTCAATATAAAGTTTTTGTGTATAGTTTATGGTTAAAAAATTTTATGATTGCATTTAATAGCATTTCGAAAGCGTATGGACAAACCTGACAGGAATTTTGCTGGACAGTCTCCAGGTGGTCTTGTATCTGTGCTGGCCTATCCCTAGGGTGGTTTTGGTTTCCCTGCACTTTTCGCTTTCTTCATTCCTTCTGGACAGCGGACGTAGGTCTCAACCTCTCTCGAGAAGGTTAATTGAGATTTAAGTGGTTTAAGCTTTTTTGGAGGATTAGAGCCGAAAAAAAATAGGTTAGACTTTGAGTGAGCTTTGGGTAAAAATGTCGAAAGGAAGTGTTTAAAAAATTGTCAAAGAGGTTTCTTCAAATAAAACTATGAGACTTTTTCCTGGGAGCGGTTGAGGAGGAAAGGAGGAGGGGGTGAAATGAAATGAGATGAAGGGCTGTCGAAAAGGACATTGATATCATTTCCTCCTCTGTTAGGCACAAGCAGCTTTTAAACCACGTGCAAGTAGAATCTAGATGATCCCAAGTTTAGAAGTCCGTGTGTTTCTCTCTGTTGATCAAAGATTACCAGTAAAAGTTATCGGCTGAGGAAGTCACACAATAGAAAGAATAGCTTCAAATATTACCAATATGCCACAATCATACCAAGGCTAAGGGATGTCTAAGATTGCACTTTTTGTGGTGCCCTTTAAACATTCTTTGATACAACTTTTATAGGATAATCCTGTATTTAATAACCTGGGGCGGTATAAATCTTTTGTAATCATTGGCAGATACAAATTTGGGTAGTAGTATGAAAATTTTTCTGTTTAAAGTAAAGAATTGTTATAAACTTACAAAGACTTCAAATGTGATGAGAAAATGTATACCAGCAAGTATTTTTAAAAATTTGAAAGCTCACCTGTAGTATATATAATGATCAACACCCTTTAGTAGTCATCATTTACAATGATTAGCAAAAATGACCAATGAAACTCAAAAGGAGGGTTTGAGACATTTTTTAAGAAACCATATAATTTACCAAGCATTAAAATAAATAATATAACTTAACTGTTTAATGTTGATTAAATTAATATTAAAGCTTAACCTTATACTTTGAAAATTTTATATTTTTTTAAGCTATTTCCCTCTTTAATATTAAATAAACACTTTTTCGAAGTAAATGGGTGGTTCTTCAATTCGAAAGCATATTTGCTTCAAATAGAGTGTTTATTCTTTAAAACTCCACATTTAATGGACCTTTTCTTTTTCGTCTTCGTAATTGTGTACCACTATCTACACATACTCATGTAGTTGGCGTTTTAACCTTTTGTTCGTACACTCTCTTTTTATTAAAGATAGAATGATAATCTAGTCAGGTTAATTTTGCTTCCAATTTAACTTATTGTGTACAGAAGTTAGGTTTTTTTTCGAAAGATTTACAATAATATGACCTCTTTAGGCTAAATGGTTAACCTCATTTATAGCGCTTAAATATTGTAAGCACCTACAGAAGGATTAAGAACACTGCTATTCTGCTAAGCGAGGAATTTGTAGCAAAACCTTAATGACCTATCATTTAAGACCGTCGCTGGAGTGTGATAAACAAACAATGCTTCCACTTTAAGTCTCTTTTTTTCATCAACTTTACCCGTATTCTGTTAAAATTCATTATTTTTTTTTTATTGCAGTAAAAACGCTAATCGTAAATTAGCTTTATAAGCCATGAAGTACTTCTAATGGTTCAAACTGTCCGATTTAGCGCAATTTTTTTTTAAACGAAGATGCTCTAACAGCATCATTTCAATGCAAACATATAGTAAAGGGTAAAAGAAACTACTAACAGGGCGCACTTATTAACTAATTTGTTCACAGTTCTAATCCTACTAATATTGTAATATTTCAACCTTATTATTCAGGGATCTCTTTAGCATAATCTAAATTGGCGGACGGAAGCACCCAAAATGGTAGGGTAGATACTCATTAATTTTGTTCAGACTTTCTTATTGCTTATCTAAGGTAACTTTAGAAGTATACCAGGTGACAAGGATTTGCTGTGTCGCACCTTCGGACCCGAGAATTTTTTTATTAAAGCTTTAATCAAAATAGTTCGTCAAATCTTAGTAAAGAAAATTTAAAATAAGTATACATTAGTTACATGGTCATATAACCCTATTTATCTAAGTAATAATTAGTTTATATCCATTTTCGCCCCCTGGGAGGTAAAAGCTCATTAAACTGCATAAAGTCTGTCTGATTAATTGCAGTATTCTGCGATCGGGCGGTATTTAATAGCGAAGTTTTTGCCATAAAGGGAGAGCTGGACTTGCCAACTAATAACTCCAAAGCTACCATTACACCAGGACTGCGGTACGAAAAAAACTTTACTGTGGTAGTCAAATAGTTGAAAGATCCTTTAATAAGCTGGGAAAAAAGTACAAACAATTGCTACATGGTCTCGCATTCAAGGCTATTCACTCAGTAAAATATCTAAATATTCTTACAAGGTAATAAAAAACTGCTTTTACAAACTTTAAGGCCTATTTTTATATTTACATAAATAACAATGTGTAGTTTAACAAAAGTTTAGAGATTAATTTGTAGTAAAAATAAAACTTACTTGTTTAAGGTAGTAAGAATTCTTTTAAATTTCTTTTTTGATTCCTCTACTACACTACTGTTCAGGCTTGCAAGATTTTTAGCTTAGCGAACTAACTGATTAAATAACGCGTACTTGATATTTTTAAATAGAATAATTCTACATCGATAGAACCGTTCTACACTAAAACTAGTATAACCTATCGCCCAAATCTCTATCACTCAGTCGAAGTTTTTAAATTCAAGCCAATAAAATTTTACAGTAATTTTTTTTTTCATATATAAAGTTTTATCGGTAAAAGAGGTTATATGTTTCCTGTTTCAATTTATAATAAACGTTTAAAAAAAATTTGCATAAATGAAACGGAGGTTTAAAATATTTCATAATCTTTTAAAGCATAACTAAAGTCATGCCTCCTCGATGGAAGATGAAGTGTGATTCAATCAGCACCAAATTTGTAAATAATTACATTCCGCGAAATCGCTAGTCATTGGTTTTCATTGACCTCTCTATTTTTTAGTATTATCAATGTAATGAATGAATCATTTTCTTTGCAAGCGCGAGGCCTCTTCAAAAGCCCGGTGCAACAAACGCATGATAAAAGATAAAACTTTTACATGAGTGAGTAGTTGATGGACATCAAAGAAATCATGACTTATGCTTTATAATTAAAGGAGTTCAAGAAGTGAAAAAGCAAGAGTTGACGAATTAAAAATTCTTTTTTAATTCAAAAAATATAGTGAACAGCTCACATGAGAACCTCAAGGGAGAATAAAAAACAGTCGTTTAAACTACTAAAAATGTATTCACTTAAGAAAGCCAAAACTCAGGGGATATGCAACGCGACAAGGCATGAAAAGGAAAGCATACTGTTATAAAATGACAGGCATTTTCGCTGTTAGCTTTTTCAAAAGAAAACTGTCTTAAATTATAATTATTCATAAAAACGTTTAATTTTTTCTTAAAAGAGAAAAATTATTAAATGAAAAATATAGACTCAGCCTCTACCTCTTAATACCTAACCTTAACCATATTAACCATAACTCTAACTCTAACCTTAGTTAGAGTAGCTCTTAAAAAGGTATACCAACGCATCGTTATGGCTCTGCCAACCAAAGAAAGGGGAAAAAAGAACAGGAGTTATTTACTTACGACAATTAAGCCGTTTATATACCTATATAAAAGGTTAAAAGAATTTGGAATGGTGTATATTTGTTTAGGTTAAATTAGGATTTTTATATTAAACATGTTTAATTCAGTTTCGCTCCGTTTAGATTTGTCAGAGTTGATAATAATCATATTTGTTTACAATAAATACTAGATTTACATAGCCTCCGCAAAAATGTTTAAAATTATTTTTATTTTGAAAACATTGCTTTACCTGTAACTATAGTTTCTGTGTGGTTTACTTGTATTAGTGCATGCGTGGGTTGTTTGCCGAAATACACTGTAAAAGAAACTCAGACGTTTTTCTAATGTTATTTGAAGTACTTTTTATAATTTTCTTTGGACAAGAACTGGACATATTATGTAATCATAAAAAAAACTACCTCCTTTGAAGACATAAAAACGGACCCCTCATTGCTGCAAAGAACAAAGACGTCTGTCTAGCCCGTTCACTCCTTCGAACATCATACTCAACTTTAATAAACTTGTCTCCTTGATCCAAGGTGTTATTGTTGGGACTCTCTTCGAGAAAAAAATCGTCCTGCTATGTTGCATAACATATTAAAAGTTATAACGTCGCTACAAGAAATTAAAAATTCAAGGGGTTAGAAGCTATAACCAACTTTATTCTAAATACCTCTCAGAAAAGTCTCTTAAGTACGTTGAAGTATCAATAATTTCGTGTATCGCAACGGAACTTTATATACGGATTTTACGAAGGTATCTGATCGTCTTTGCACCTTCAAATTTCGTTCTTGATTAGCGAAAATATCCTTGGAGAATTCTTTCCCAGGAGTCAAACTTTAGAATTTCACCTCTGACAACTAGATATTAACGTCCACTCCCCTAACTGTCCCTATTAATTATTATCTTGACCTTCAAAACCAATAAAACTAAGATCAGAATACTACTGCATTATTCATGCTGCATTATGCAGGCAATAATTATCCCCCCTCCTCTTGGACTATGATGCGCCATGTACAGGTCAGTTGGGCCGCAGTGAAATTCGTACTTTTGGTTTTGAGTTTGCAAGTCAATGCATTAAAATCGCTAAGCTACGGCGACGGCTAAATGCAGGCGTTACTTGAATTACCTTTTAGACTCCTCTACCTCCTCGGAACATTACAAACTATGTATATGTTTTTTTATCTCGGCGAGAAGTGGAAGCTCGTCTTATTAAGGGGGCAGGATATATTTTAAGGTGTCGAATCTTAATAGCAAAGGTGTTACATATTTTAGATTGGGCCAAAAATTTCAAATCTCTAAGCAGTTATTTGAAGTTTATATTTTTATTATTGCGATAATTTTTAAACAGTTAGTAATTTTTTGGGTATCTTTAGAGTAAAATATAAAGGTTATATTAATAAGCACCATTTTTTTTTTCTAATCATTCAGTGCACGTATTATATAACAAATATATATAAATTAAACACCTTGACTTTTCATTTTTTTGTTAAAAATTCATTTATACTAGTGGTCATTTTACAAGCTTGGTGTTTTTCAAGAACTATATCTCATAGATAAACAAAGAGTATAACATAGGTTTATCGTAAATACAAAAACTCTGAATTGATTTATTCGATAGTCTGCACATCCAAAGTTAACTAAAAAAAAAATAGAATAAAGCAACTGTATACACTGTAAACCCCCCCCCTTTCTCGGGTCCTCAATTGTCAATCTATCTCTGGTCGTAGTGGCTTTAGTGATTATTTTCCTATTTAGATATGAGGAGCGTCATTTCTTTCCCCAGCAAGGCTTTAAATTTAGTTTTATTAAATAGGATTAGTTATTGTAGAATTTTTGCTTTGTTAACTGTTTTTATTATAGTAGCTACCCTTCTTCAACAAAGTAAGGCTTTATTTTTAGTCTAACTCTCTAACGATGAGCTTTGAAACTTATTAGGAAGAAGTAATTTTTGTGAAATTCATTTTTCAAAATCTGGAGATGCAAAGTAATGTAACATAATATACAAAATGGACAACTTTAAATTTCTTTTCTTCTTTTCCTTCTCAGACTTCTAGATGTTTGGCTCCAAAAAAAAATGCTTGAAATGGAGAAGACTTTAAGAATTTTTGCTTACGATTTAGAGGGTTACACTCTAAAGAATGGTTCGTTTTAACACAAGAAGGCGTTTGCTTTGTTAGCTTAATATATAAAAAAAACTGTAAGGCCATCCCTTGTATATAAAAAGTTCACAGTGCGGAGTGGACTCGGGTCATAATAAAGGGTCGACTTTTCGCTATATAAATACATATATCCTTTACCTTACTAAAGATTTTTTTTGTAGTTACGGTGTTGAAAAGTATTTTATCTCGCAAATTAATAAAAGTCTATTAAGAACGGTGGATCCTAATAAAAGTGTAATATTTTTTATTCCCGTTAAGTTGTGTGCAGGTATTAATCATTTTAATTACTTTTACTGCACTGTAATATTTATTTTACCAGCAAAATGGAATTTACCACCTCTTCCTCAACCTAAAAAGATAAAGAATATTTTAGGAAGGAAGCTGTCTGCCCAGTATTTTTATAAAGTGAATTTAATTGTATAAATTATACTAATTTAAGTGGGTGTTGAAAACTATTTAGCATATCTGGTTACTTCGATTATATTTGTACTTAAATTATTTAAAAAGAACTTTTTAACCTAGAAAGAATTTATATACTAGTAATCCATGTTCACATATAGGCTACTTTATAATCTTGTATGTTGAATTTGTGAGAATAAGCTTTATGTCATCTATTAGTACTTTCGTCAAGAGCTAATTTGTCACAGTCAGCACGCGCTCGTATTTATAAGCAATTTCTTTTCACGTACGTCAGTGTTTTGAAGTTTAAATATATAATTTCGCTGGCCAAGCAGTGCAGTGATAATGGAGTGAAATAGCAATTGAGTATAGCATTTGAGTTGTTTTCTTTCCGGTTCTCAACTTCAGTAAAGTTTTAATCTCGTTTTACTTTTGCAGAGTGTCGAGTTTGTAAGCAAACGTTATCCATATTTCAATGGCTCCCTTTCTCGCTTTAGTGGTGCTGATCATTTTTGGTTTTCTTCGCACGACGGGGGAGTCGCAAGAGGTACGCAAAGGGCAGGCCGGTGGGTTTTTTGTTATATTCTGTATGGAAAACTAGTGAGAATAGCGCAGTACTTTTCCTATATATTAAATTACTTTATAAAACAGCTTCCCTCATCAAAGGAAACTTTACTTCAAAAACTATAGCTTTGGTAAACACTGCAGATCCCAGCATGGTATGACTACGCAGAGAAAATTAACGTTTTTACCACGCAATTTATAAACATTGGCTCGGTAGTACCGTAAACTTCCTTCCTTCCTCCACAATACTATAACTTGTTGCTTGCTTATTTTTTTAGACCCTTCTATTTATAAAAATATCTTATAATACGCTTTTAATTTTAAAAAAATTAACATTTAAAGATCAATGGAAGTGCGGGGATAAATATAAACTTGTCCAAATTTTGAAACCCGAAAGGTTAAGGGAAGGAGGAAGGGAGGAAGTTTGTTTATACAACTGAGCTTGTTCGTTTTTTGACTGCCATGGGCAGTTAGTGTGATATTGTTATACCATGTTTTCGTTTAAACGAACAATTTTGATTATATTTTTATATTCATTAGTATGCATGCTTACATTTATGTCTACTTATTTAAAAATAATATTCAAAAACATATGTTATATAAGAATTAAGTAGTGTAGTGAATACTCGTTTAGTTAAAACAAATTATTTAGTAATATTTTTAATACGCGAAGTGGCTTATCCATCTCTCCTTTGTGACCTATAATGTTCGTGGCTACTAGTAAAATATATTTTAGGGGCAATTAAGGGACGAATATTTATTTTAATGATGAGTTCTTGCCTTATTCTACTTAGAAATGAGCAAATTTTCGCATAAAAAGATACATCTTAAGGCCATTACAGCAGTATATTGGTGTAATGTGATATGAGTTTTGATGCTGTTAGAATTATTTAACCTTTTTTTTTTAATGGAAAAGTTTTTATACGAATGAAAAAAAAATCGTCAGTTATATACAAAATATTACTTTTGGCACTTTACGGAAAGTAAAAAGCTTTCTTTTACGCCTTAAACTGCAGTCTTTTTGAAATAAGCTTCTGTTTATGTTAAATAAGTTTGTTGAAGATCATTAAGGAAATTATTAGAAATAGGCGTTTGGCCTTACTGTTATTAATATGTGGAGTCTCCTATTAAAAAGTCAATCAATGAACTTGTGTAAGTTCTCGCTATTAACATGTGGCTTCATAAAAACCTTTCTCCTTAAAAGCATCAAGTTGTTCAGAGCCATAAGTAATAAAAAAAAATAGTTGACTTAATAAGTTTTTATATAATTTAGAAGCATCGCGAAATGTATGCTGACTCGGAGCAAGCAACATTTTTTTAAAAAAGTATATTTTTGGCTTTAGTAAACTATAAAACTTTTATATATTTTAATCAAAGATTAGGTATCTTATTCATATCAATGTATACATTAAATATGAAAAAATATATAGTTAATAACTTAAATATCGATAAATAAGTAAATTGAGGACTTATACTATATGCAGCTAAAGCTTCCAAACTTTTTAACTAAAATTTACTATACCAAATAGCACCTTATTACATATACATTTGCCTCGCGATTTAATGATCTATACTATGCACTTCACTCCTACTGGGCAGCTTGGCTGATATAGGCCTTAATCAAGATGTATGTCAAGTTACTTTATGTTATTATTAATTTATCATAGTATTCTACGATATGAAAAACGCTTAGAAAAATAGTTATAGGCATAAAGTTTAAATTGAAATGAAATGAAGCAACTTTAGTCAAATAACAGTTTTTTATAGAGTAAAAATTTGACCTTAGAACAAAGTAACTAATTTCAAACACTAAGTTCGTAGGAGAAGGATCAGTTATAAAAAGATAAGAGATAACAGATTAACGATTAACAGTTAAATTGCGGAAATTATAAATGTGCGGGAGCAGCGTTCTATTATATAGAATTTTTTAAACCCCGTTTGGTTCAGAAAGTCTTGTCTTGTATGCCGTGTAGAAGGTATGGAAAAAATAATCTGTGCAAATTATCATAATCGGATAGTTAAAGAACAGAACTTAAAACTTAAAGCTAGGAGTTAAACTTGAGTCTGAAAATACTAGCTACAGTGAATTACAATGATAACGTAATTCCATTTTCTTGGAACAGACTTCTTTGTAAATATATGATTCTTAAAAATATGGTTAGTAATTTGAGAGGTAATCGTAGTAATCGAATAAGGATTTCGGCGTTTTAATGTAGTACCTCAGTCAAGTTACGAAGCTAAAAACCTAAATAATTTGCAAAAAAATTAACATGACAGACAAGTTTTGAAAGCTGATTCCTAACATCATGCCTTCCTCAAAGGGCTTCACCTCGAAGTCACATCCTTAATTTTTTTTTTTAATAATGATATACCTTTTAAAAGATTCTAAATGCCCAATGAGTAGTATTATATCTCTAACGCAATTTATCACCTCTTTTCACCATGTTCCTCAATCATGCAGTAGTTCAACGAGTGTTCCCAACAAAACTGGGTAAAGGAGGTCAGAATAATCCAGTTTGTTAGAAGAGTAATCTAGAGAGTATATCCCCCCATATAATTATCTTCTCCACTGCAATATTATTGATGGCGGTTTTAAAAGCCTTGTGCTTTCAATGGTTTTCAGGTGGATTGATGGGCGGTGCATATTTTAGTAAATGGTTTATGAAAAAACGTTCTAAACTTTCATGGAAGAAAGTAAATATAGTTTGATGCTCCTGGGTTAGACATGGGTGTATCTCGTAGGTCCCTTGTACGTGCAATCTAACTCCTTGGTTAAGCTTAAAATTCTTATGTTTTTGCAATTGACTAATATCGTGGAATTCTTTTTTAAGTTTGTGATCCTTATATCAAAATTAGCATTACGTCTGTAGCTATTAGACTCAACTTAGCCTCAGTTGAAGCTTTTCTTTACTCTTTTTAAACTTTGGGGTTATAAGAGCTACTTAAGGGTTATTAGCACGAGGTAGAAGACTCGGGTCAAAACTGTGTTAAACTACACATCTCTAAAGCCATAATTAAATTGTTCTCAGGGCCACTCGTTAAGCTCTGAGTGCTTCGTTAAAAAGTGGAAGTTGTGGACGTAATGATAATGCAGATGGTTCATACGTACTTGCCACGTGGCAAGTATAATTTCTTTGCCGTTGGCATGAAATCACATTTATTTGCGAAAGGAAATAGTAGGGGCCCCTGTTAAGGTCATCAAGGCAAGGTAGATAATACCACAACGAAGAGCACACCGTATATAAATAAACATAGGTCGAGTTTCGAGTTTCTCTTTCTCTATATACTCAGGTTTTTTTAACATATTTATAGGGAAGCTACCTACCCTTATGTTATCGGTCTTATTAAACTAAATCAGTTATCAAAAAAAACGTTACAATTTATTTTGACTCTGCTTCACGACTTTATGCCACTTCTCAGCAGCCGATACTGCATTATTAGCTTAAGGGAAAGACAACCTTTAGTGGAGGGCTCGTAGTAAAAAATAACAGTCTTGTGCCGTTCATTACCTTTAAAACCTTTAAGTCCTCTCAATATCGTATATATAAATGTATAACTTTTATAATTATTATTAAAACTGAGTTATCGTTACAATACTTATTTTTAGGGTTTTATTCCTTGCTGGCACATTTCCACTGTTCCTAATGTTGACTTTGGTAGACCCCCGTCGCACTCCGCTAAGAAAGAAATGTAAATTTACTTTTTTCCATTGTTATTGCGTTTATGGTTAAAAGGAAAATAAGGCGCGCTTTATCATACCTTATTAAGGGGGTTGTACACACATTAATAAGTTATAAAGCGACTGCTTCTACATTGGGTTTTAAACAACTTAATTTATTGTTTAAAATTGCGTTACTTGTTTCTTTCATATTTTAAAACTCTTATAAGAGTACAAAAGGCTATCACATAAGTTCTACATGTTTACAGATAAAATGCTTTACATTATACGACAATTTTTCCTAAAAATTTACTCCTAACTATTAAGTTTATTTTTGGCCAACTTAACTCGCTTTTCCTCTATCTTCATTTCTTATATCTTAAAAATAGGTTTTACTTTCATTTATATTTAATCCTTATCTTCATTTCTTATATCTTAAAAATAGGTTTTACTTTCATTTATATTTAATCCTTCTCTTTTCTTTTAACTTGAAAAAAAGCTTTTTCAAGTTGCATAGAAGAAACATTGTTTTCTTTGCTGGAAATCTGGCCTCTAATCCAGTAAGGTTGAGTACATATCACCATATCGAGTCAGGAGTTAACAACTTCTTATTTTGCGTAGCATAGTATTCTTACTGTTTCTTTATTGCTATTGCACTTAGTATTTACCAGGTAGTAGCTATTAACGAGTTAGTAGGTTTATGGGGTGCAACGTCATAGAGTGTTTTGTTTTATTAGTAAGTCCACTATTTAAAAGAGAATGCGCGCAGGCGTGAGGCCGTTCCATTTAAAAGTTTTAAGGCTCCTTTAGAATATTTGAATAGGAAGATGTAGATTAAAATGCTTTGATCACACCATTTTTGGTGTCCCCGGCGTATTTGCGATAAAAGAAAATTTTAAGGAGTATATTAGAGTAATTAAACAAAAGTTTCTATAATAAAAACCTCTTATCTCGTTGGCTAAGGTGAAAAAAAAATTCTACTCTTTAAATTCTACTCTTCATTTTTCCTTCGATAGGGCCTCAATATAAAGCCGTACGCGGCCATTACAATGGTGTAGCCAGTAACAATTGTATTTATCACGATGTTAAACTTACCAAAGGGGCACTTATAGCTTAGTGAATTTATACTCTGTAGCTGTTACAAGTACCAAGTTTATGATTAATGTTTGGAGTGCATATAATAATAAATTAATAAGCCCATGTAACTAAAAGCGCTGTAAAATTGCCGACATATTAAATGTTATTATCACATGCTTTCATGGTTTTCCAAGAAGTTCAAATTTTATATTTTCAAAAAATTGATAATTAAGATCTTTTTCAACCGTTTAAATTTTTAAACTCTCATTTCATAATTTTTTTTCAAGTTTTTATATATATTGCCACACTAGTTCTTTTGTTAGCTAGTGCATGAGAAAAGTAGTAGTTACCTTAATGGCTTCATCCGTTTGTTTTCAAATCCATATGGCCGCAAGAGTCCGCTACTGTTTTCAAATTATATAAAGTTTTTGACCAAGTATTAAAAATTTTATACAGTGCATTTAAGTAACAAAATAATATTAACCATCCACAGGTAAAGTTTACCTTTAATTATTAATTTACTACAAGTAATTGCCTTGTGGAAAAAAAGAAGAATGCGCTATTTTAAATTCGGTATTTAAGTTAGTAATTAGCAAACGAATATAACGAACCCCATTGTTCACTTTAAAAAACCTTTCTAAAGAAATAATATCACACTTATTAAAACTATCAAACCCCCTTCTCTATAAGTTTAGTTATAATTCCAAAAAAAGTTAGACAATAATAACAACTAGCTTAGGCTAACCATTATAAAATTACAAAACGAAATAAGTTTTTATAGTTTGTAAATTATGTTAGCAAAGATATATTCAGAAAATATGAGGCTTTTCGGCGTGGCAATACATTCCAAAATTTACATTTTTACGGGGTTGGTAACTACTTCTGGCTCTACATAAAAAATATTAGGCAACGCTCTTAAAAAAACTTTGTTTCACATATATACATTCGTTAAGTTTTAAAGTAAATTGCGCTACCCATCAATACTTGTCTTCCTTCTATAAACCTAGAAACAAAATGTGACCAAAAGTAATTGCTCCAAGCGACTTTACTTTTCACCTTAACTCTCTGCTTATGCTTAAAATCAAATTTATAAAAAAAATTAAGGACTAAAGTGAGACGGTAGCTAAAGTAAATATATTAAGTGACTCTTCATTAAGTTTTTGCGTAAACCTCTCCTGTTCTTCGCTGTGCAGACATATATACTTCTAGTTGTCTTCCCAATCACGGCGTGAATGGCGGACGAGTTCTCGTGAGGCTCCCCTCTTCATTTTCTTTTTTAATGGTTAAGTTCATTGTCGACAAAATAAGAACTTTATTCTTTATTTATCTCTAGCTTTAAATTGACAAAATAATGCTCTGGATACCTGGCAAATTCTTTCTCTTTTAAAAGTTTAGAAATAGTTTTATTTTAAGTTAAAATACTTAGAACGACCCTTAACAAAGGCGAGATAACTCTTGCAGGGTAACAATAGTTTAATCCACTCAGGAACAATCTGCTGTTATTTTCGTAAGATAGTTTCCCGTTTTTTGAACCGTAATTTATGTTTAAAACCCTCCCTTTTAATTTTAATTTGTTTCCCCATGAAAATTACAAAAGCTTCTCATGGCTATTTGCGTAAGCAATCAATTTTTGGACTTTTTCATTTGTTTTTACTTTTGCCCTTTTGTTTACCAAACGACGGAAAAGGTAGATAAAAACAGAAAATGGGGGAAAAGTCTTTGTACCAAACATGTTAACTGAGATCAATTACGGATCCGTACACATTGAGCGTCATCGAATTTAATCGGCTCCAAGTTTACCTAAAATTTAAATTTTTTCAATTTTTCTAAAGAAAAAATTTATTTATATATTAATAAACTCTGTTGTAAAGTCCTTGAAACACTATTTATAGTATACCGCCAATCAGTATTCAAGAGGAAGCTATAATAGGTACTAAAGTGCACGTTTGTGCTTTTGACAACCAACGTGGCATGCGCAATTTGCTTCTGTGGCTAAAATATTTTATAAAAAACGTAGACGGTAAATAAAAACAACAAAAAAAAAAAAAGTAAAAATCCTATATGTGATTAAGCTCTTTGTGTAATAAGGCTGTTCCTTTATTGTTTTAGTTTTCATATTTATTAATTACAGCTTATAATATATAGTAAAAAGTAAGTCGCTATAAAATCTCATTCTAAATTTATTGCGCCCATTATTGTAATTATTTACATGACAATAGAAAGGCAGTAGCGAAAAAATTTGGCAATGATGCATTTTTTAAAATTATAATGGGCCGCATTAAAGACAATCTTTATACAAACCATTTAAAAACTTCGGAATTTTGTTTGCACCTGCGAGGCTATCAGGTAACTTGTAAATATTAATTTGTTGAAGGTTCCAAATATATTGCAGAAAGCTAATTCCTTATTCGTTTTACTTTCCAATTAAAATCCTTTTTATATCACTTCTTTTTCTAAAAGTTCATAGCATTAACAAGATAAAAGGTTTTTCATTGATATAACGACATTAGTCAGAGTGATAGCGCTGCACATGTAGTAATTACGTAAAGTTCAATGAATTGTTTCTACATTTTATATTTTGAGTGGCGGATTTAGTAATTTTAGTTTTTTTTTATAAGTGAATACATCTCAATTACTAGGTGTGGAGCCCGAGACTTATAGAGTACATCTGGTTTGGCTGCATTCCCGTGATCTTGGCCGACAATTACTTCTTACCGCTTTCTAGCTTATTGGACTGGTCTAAGGTTTACTGTGTCTCCTCTCTTCGTTAACGCCAGTGAAGGCTAATAAATAGCGAGAACATCTAAGTGCGTGGATTTTAACTATGTTGCGCTCCAACGCGTTGTTTAAAGCTTGAACTTGTCTACTAGTTTTAAGTAATTTAATATAACTTGATAGACAGACACCTCCTCTCATTCAATAAGTCTACCTTGTGATAAACCAGAAAAAGATTATTGCACTTCTCTTCTTGTATTTTGCGCGGCATGTCATAAAGTTTAGAGATTTTTAAACGAAAACCAGATATGACTTTAAAGTATTGGTTACCCAGTGTGTTTCCGTTTTTTATTCACGTGCACTCACCAACAACTGTAACCACAAGAACATTTAAAGCTTTCTCTCTAATTTATAAAAAACTAATTAAAATATCAGCAGTAAGTGCCTTTTTTATTATTATAAATCTTTTAATTAAAAGCGTCAAATACTTTTCTACTCGAGTTAGCTTGAAACTTTAAAGTTTGTTTGTTGTTCATCTAGGCAAATCTATTATGAACTAAATGTTTTAAGTGAAATTTTTTTATTGTTAAATTTATTTTAGCTATAGTCTATTATGTGCGTTTCATTGCGCCGAAAAAGTTAATCAGAACTATCATAGTAATATATTAAAGTTTCAAGGTCCTATTCAATTGTTGCCGTTATAATAAAACTACAAACTAATAAAGTTATGTAACCCTCTCTATTTTAACTTTATTCCATAGTTTAGCATAATAATTCCTGAAGACCAAGTGGCACATCTCAAAGTAATTTTACTTCAAATTCCGTCAGAGAAAAAGGACAAAATTCGAAGGCGACTCTTCAAAGTTTCCAAACACTTCACCTACCATAAAACTCCGGTCTTCGGAGATGCTTTTTATATGACAATGGTTCAGATTTACTTGCGATATTTAAAGCTAACCGGTTTGTTTCCTTATTAACTTAATTTCCTTAATACTATGTTATATTAATATAAATTTGAAGGAACACTTGAAAAAGAAAAGGAAAGCTTTTTATGCGATAAAAATTATGATAAAAGTAATGCACCTTTAGAAATCTGATTTTTCTTGCTTTTAAGCTTAACATATAAACACTAATCTTCGTACTACCAAATCTGGTCAGTTACCAGCTTTTAATAAACTGCATTAACTGGTACATATTCATCTCCCTGTAACAAACATAGTAAGTTCATATGGTTTAGCGCATCCCATTAAAAAATTTTAGTTATAAATGCCTGACAATTTTATGATTACGCGACATATCCTTTTTCCGCATTCGACTAAAATATGTAAAGGAAACCAAGTACTTTCATACCCTTCGTACTGTTTTTAGCGAATAATTAAATACAGTTAACGATAGATAATTAGCCTCTTAGAACCGTGTTACTTTACTACAGAGAATCCATACTTAAAGCACTTGTCTTGGTAGTTTCAGCTAAATAAGCGCTTTAAGGAAACTATTAAAACAAAATAAAAAGGTTGTTTTCCTTTGACTTTGTGAAAATAAATTACTTATACTGATCTTAGACAAATATAAAACCTCAACTAGGTATGTTTGATTATATAATCCCTTAAAGCAGACTTCAGATAACATAACAATGCTAGTTGGAAAAAAAAAAAAGGTAAAGGGTTAATTGAAGGCATTAACAGTCTACTAAAATAGAAAGGCTAAGTGCCTATCTAACTTTTTTTTAAATAAAAACTTTACTGCGTGAAACGTTAAACAGACCGAAAGTTTTTATATATTTAAAGTACTATAAATTTTAACAACTGTAACACTGTAAAATCCCTAACCTCTTTTACAAATTTGCAAGTTAGTAAAGCCAAAGTTTCACGCATGTAAACAAAGGACGCAGCAACTTAAGTACGTACAGCCGATACTACAGTGACCAGCATCTTTTCTTGTGTAATCTTCAAAGGAAAAAATATGCGAAAGCTAGAAGTCCTCTTCCATGACCAAAAATATT